ATCGAAAAAATTCATCAGTTACTAACAAACTTATTGATGAAATTCATCCTTTACTGATGGGGTTCATTCACAATATCAACAAAATACCGACTGATTTGAAGCCATGATGGACGGATACAACTAATGAGCTTTAAAGTTGACTACTTTAACTATCCATTTATAATTACTGATGGATCCTAATTTGTCAGTACTATTATTGATGAAACTTATAGATGAAATTTTTTTCATTACTAACGAGAAACTGACCAATGAATCTGAGCTTTTATAGACGAAATTACTGACGAAATATTCGATCGATAACTTACCAATGAAATATTTCATCTCCAATAGACTTGCCATTACTAACCATAGTACTTTCGATCGAATACCGATGAAAATATCCAGTGATTTTTTCATCAATAATGTAACATACCAATGTAATCTTAACTATTATTGATAAAACTTTTCATCAGTAATGCTCTATTTTTTTATAGTGTAATGAATGTTATTCGTAGTACCAGGTTTTATTTACTATGTTAATGGAAAATGACATAGGAAAGTGATTGTTCAAAAGACATAATAAGTATCAACAATGTGAAAATTGTTGTTGTTGGTGTGGCTTTTTTGTTTTCTTTTTCTCCTTTCACCTGTCATATTAGAACCTCAATTTGAAAAAGATTCAAATAGAGAAGAAGAAGGAAAAATCGATTTTGAAAAAAGAAAGAGAAATCCATTTAGAAAAACAAAAGAGAAATTGACTTCGATGGGAGAAAAATAAATCAATTAAATAAACTTTAAATTTAATGTTTCAAAGATTAAAGGTTGGTCCTTCTTCGGAACTAGTGATCCTAAAATAATAAGAAGAATCTCTTATTTTATTAAGGTACAACAGATTTTGGATTTTTGTCTTTTTATCTGTTTTGATGATTAATGTGTTTAGGGTTTATATTTGTTCTTTGTTTTCAAAATTGAGCACCAAATACAAGTTGGAAATTGCATAATCGGTTTTAGTCTCGAGTTATGGTATGAAAAAATATTTTTTAAGCCTTGTATAATAGTAGCTTCTTTGTGCTTGCATGTGCTTGTTGGTCCTTGTTGCCAATGTAAAATTGCATCTGTTAGTTGTTTTAACAAATAATGGCTTTTGTTGGTTGGAAGAATCATTTTTGTTAATTAGACCATTAATTCTCTAAATTATATCAATTTTGATATTAAGTTCTATATTTTTATTGTATCCAAATAAACTCTTTTCTTTTATTTTTATCCAAAGAAGATCCTATTCTTAAATTGTTTACCCAAAGAAACCCCTATCTCGTAAAGGAAATATAACAAATGTTAGTCCCAATACCAGTTGTCATTTACTGCGTACATGGCAAATAGCGTAGGAAAGTGGCTACTTAAAAGACAAAACAACGATTAGTGACGTGGAATTTCTTGCTATTGGTGCCACTTTTCTGTCTTTTTTTCTCCTTTCACTTGTCACATGTCAAAGGCTAATTGGTTGGTTAAAACAAGCAATTAAGGTAAAAACGTGTGGGGAAATCAATTTAATAGGAAAACACTAATTTTCTTATTTGTAATGAACCTCATATGAAACCTAAAACCAAAACCTTGATTTGGTAAAGATTTGACTAAAAAAGGAGAAGGAGAAATCAATTTCTCAAGAAAGAGGAATCGATTTTGAAAGGGCAAGGAGAAATCGATTACGAAAGGAGAAACATAATCCATTAAAAAAATCAAATTTAATGTGTCAAAGATTAAAGGTAAGCTCCACTTAGGAACTGGTGATCCCAAAACAGGAGAAGAAATCTCTTATTTGAGTAAGGTACGATGAATTTTAGATTTTTGTCTTTTTATCTATTTTGAAGATTAGTTTGTTTAGGGTTTATATTTGTGATTTATTTTCAAAATTGAGTGCCAAATATATGTTGGATATTGCATAATTGATTTTTAATCTCGAGTTATGGTATGAAAATTATTTTTTAAGCCTTGTATAATAATAGCTTCTTTGTGCTTGCATGTGCTTATTGGTCCCTATAGCCAACAGAAAATTGCATCTATTGGTTGTTTTGACAAATAATGGCTTTTGTCGGTTCGAAGAATAGTTTTTATTGGTTAGACCATTATGTTTGTATATACTTTTGTTAATAGAAAATAGTATAGCTTGACCACTAATGTTGAAAGAACACTTTAAATAATGTAAATTTACTTCATATGCTATGCAAGTTTGATGCTAATAACCCGAGGTTGTACATTTAATTGGAATTTTCCATGGTGGAAGATTTATATATTCTCTAAAAATAGAGTATTTGAATGGCATGCAAGATAGATTTAAAATTGATCTTGCTATGTTATTCTTTTTTTGACATAAAAGGTTTATTACAAAATTAAGGTATTTAAATGTGCCATTTATTTACCTTAGAATCCCTCAGATGGAGTCTTTCGACAATTTGATGTTGGTATATGATGATGAGAGTGCCCTAAATTAAATTGATATATTGACAAAATTGGCTTTTGTAGATTTATATTGTGACTAAGTAGTTAATGTGTCTTATATTATAGATGACACTCTTTTTCTCCTTTAATATGAAAATGTAAAGGGTGAGAATGATGTGGAAGGTAAGGACAATATGGGGGTGATCACAATGAAAGCAACAAAGTTGATGTCGATGATGAGATCCTCAAGACCATGAGACAATGAATAATCTTGATGTTGAAGTTGATGATGAAGATAATAATATGGTGATAAGGAATGACTTGGAATCGAGACATACTTTATTAGTTGATGTTGAGTGTTTAAGTGAAAGTAAGGATAAGGAAATCCAAGAAATTAAAAGAGTTTAAACAAAAAAGCTGTAAACAAAGTGATGATTTAGAGGACACAACTATTCTAGTTCCATCTAATGTTGTAAATGAAAGTGCTATTGATATGGTAAATGAAGGTCATGGAAGGGTGAATGAAGGTGAATATGGACATGCAAATGATGATGAGTGTGATAAGGTAAGTATTAAAGGAATGGATAAGGAAAATGAGAGTGAGTACATGAACTCTAATGATCTTAGATATTATTCCAATGATGTCCAATCTAATGATAAGATTCTTACAAGGAAGAAATGTTTGGGATTTAAGTGTGATCCTAACTGTGTCATTCCAACATAAGATTAATGTATGAGATTTGAGAATAATGAGAACAACAAGTAATTTAAGAAATATGCATTTGCAAAGGGTGTGCAACTAAGGTCCAATACAAATAAATCACATAAAGTTAAGGTAAGTTGCAAGGAGGGTCATGGAGGTTATTTGCAAGCTATAAGTCTAAATGTCACCTTGAGTTTAGGCTTATAAGGAGCAACAAGAATAAGTTGTTTTCGATATAATACATCTTTAAACATTTCGAGGATAAGATATTATCTTAACCAAGTTTGAAGATTAAGGATTTAAAGAAGCTATTCAAAAAAGAGTAAGATGATATTTGGTACCTTACAAAGTAATGTGATTATAGAAAAAGTGATTGCAAGTAATGTAATTGTAGGAAAAATAACATTGCAGTGTTTGATATATAAGTAAAGTAATGATTAAAATGCAAAAAAGATAACATTGCAGCATTTGATTTACAAGTATTTTGTTGGGAACATAATATTAATGTTTAAAATTACCCCTATTTATTAAAATGCAAGTTTAATATATTTATTTTTTTATTATTAATTTTTATATAATATCAACTCTTAAAAGATATTTTAATGTCATATATTTTATTTTCAATTTTCATTATAATCTTATATATTTTATTTTTCATTTCTTTAATATAATTTCTTATATTATATATTTATTTAATTTCTTGTACCTAAATTATATAAATTTTGAATTTCTTATATTTTATTTTATTTTCTTTTCTTTTACCTATATTATATATCTTTTTAATTTCTTATATTTATTTTCTTATAATTTTTATTTCTTATATTATATATTTTATTTTAATTTTTTTATTTTAATTATAACATTACAAAATGTTTTTAACAAAGTAATAAAGTTGAAAGGCAAAAATGTCTTTAACAACATTATAGAGTGCAATGTAATGTGATTGTATTGATTTTGGACTAGAATCACACTACATCCCTTGGCTGTAATGTGATTGCATTGCAATCTTACATTGCAGTGATTTGTTGCAAAACAAATACTATATTGTAATTTAATTGGACACATTGCAAGGAATGTGTTCTCGATTTTCTCATACCAAACACTACCTAAGGAATATATGCCACAATGAGCGTATATTAGAGGACTAGAAGGATTATTGGTCATGAGAAAGGAGTTAATTGCATAAAGGAGAATGGTAGGTTGTGAGGTTATGCATTAAAGTTGATGCATTGTAATCTAGGGATCCCAATTAAAATTCAAGTGGATACAAAAAATGCAGAAAGGAAGGTAGTGCTTTTGAGGTTTTATGCATGTTTCAAAGCTTGTAATAAGGAAAGGTGGATTATAAGTTGTAGGTCAATTGTAAGAATGGATGACTGCTTCCTTAAAGGTGTTTGCAAAGTAGAGTAGTTGGTAAGGGTGAGCATTCGGTTAACTTGGTTAATTCGATCAAAAAAATCCAACTAACCGACTTCTCTTTGAATTTTAATCGTATCAACTGAATTCATCCTTTTATGACAAGTGACATTTTGATTAAAAATAATAATTAATTATTAGTTATAAAGATTTATTTGTATCAAAATAAAAATATAGAAACTTAATTGAACGTAATAAAAAAATAAAAACTTATTAAAACTCTCTTGAATAATTTAAACTTTTTTTAATATTATGCCAAATTTAATCTTTGCAAGTCTTTAAAATTGCCCAATTATCAAGGAGGAGTAGATTTTTATGAGAAAACTTGTACAAATACAAAAATATGTAATTAAAGAGAATTCAACATAAACTTTGAAAATATTCTCATAATGTCAGCTTTGATTTAATATTGGATGTTTTGATAAATAAATTGAATTCTAATTTTATCCATATTATTTAAGTGAACATGGAAGAGGAGAATAGAGACGTAGAGGCTTGTGGAGCTGGAAAAAGAAACTCCAGTGTGCCATATCAAGGTGGTTCTACAGTTAATGAATCATGTCTTTCATCTTCGCCTGCTGCTTCCTGTGTTATACCAGTTTGTCGGCAATTTTGGAGATCTGGGAACTATGAAGTAGGGGAGAGGTCGAAGCTTAAAGCAGCAAAGCAAGGTAATTGGCTGCCACTTGCTTGTCTCAACCTATTATATGCTCTGCAACAAGTATGGGATGATGAAAACTGATAAAATAACTAAGAAACATAACCATCAGCATGCTTGCATGTACATGTTTCTAACAATATGATTGTTCCCTTATTTTGGTTGTTAAGAAACTTTATTTTATGATCTTGTTTGACAGATGGGAGAAATCAGTTTCGTGTACATCCAATGTTCCTTCATTCCAATGCCACCTCTCATAAATGGGTCTTTGGTGGTACGTTCGTTTATACTATATGTTTTATTTGTTTTCTTTTTGTAATGTTATCCATAAAATATAATGCTGATCTATGTTTTTTTGTCTCTGTCTCTATTCTTCCTTAATGTTTTGCCTTTTGTTGCTTACTTTGGCAGCCATAGCTGAGCTGCTTGATAATGCATTTGATGAGGTAGGTTCCCTTTTTATACTTTTTTATCAGAACTTGTTATAAAAATTTTGATTTGGCAGAAGAGTCACAACCAGGTTGGATGATCAGGTTAAGAACATTGTACTATGAAACATAATTATTAGAGGATGTTGAGCTCTTCAAATTCAGCCTGAAGTTCTTGTATTCTATGCTGGCAAGGAGATTGATCATTGCTTAGTTGTCAACAATGTGTTCCTTTTATTATTTTCCTTTCTATTAATTTTTATTCTGAATTATGCATGCATACCAGTGAGTTTACTTAAAGAGGAGAAAACAAAATAAGAATCTCCAAGAGAACATGGCATAACAGCATTAAGGCTTCTCATTCTTCCTAATTGCACCTGTGTCCATGTGTCTTACATTGGCTCTATGGTATAGGTACGAAATGGTGCTACTTTTGTTCATGTTGACAAAATCTCAAATCCTCGGGATGAGAGTCCAGCTTTGTTAATCCAAGGTACTTCTTCCACCCACTCTAAATATTGTTGAGATTTATTTGGAAATCTTAGTTGTGTTCTTCTGATACTTACAGTTTTCTCATTTCAATTTTCTGTTTTCCAAACTGAATTTTCAATGAAGATGATGGTGGTGGAATGGACCCAGAAGCTATAAGGCTTTGTATGAGCTTTGGATTTTCAGATAAGAAATGAAACATGCTATTGGACAGTGTATGGTCTTTGCTTTGCAAGTCTCTTCTCACACCCCCCCCCTCCCCCTTCCTTTTTTTTTTTTCTATTAATTGGTGGATTGTGGAATTTCAGATGGAAATGGTCTCAAGACTGGCTCTATGAGACTGGGAGCAGATGTTATAATTCTTCACTCGTCACGTGAAAATGAGGTCTATTGTCATTATTTTCAAAAGCTTCAAAAATATTTTATGCTTGACATCCTGCTTCAAGGAGGCAAAAGAGAGGGTAAAACTTAAAAGGATGGGGAAAAGGAAAGGGAAATTTTGTACCATCTTAATACAGAACCAGCCATCTTATGTTGAAATTTAACTTTGGGCTTTCATGAAGGTCTCTATTGATTTCTTGCACTGATATTTACTTGGAATCCTAACCAGCAAATTCTGCTCCTTTATGGCTAATATTGCATGGCATTGCACACAAGAACTTTCTGCTAATTATGAGTCCTTCTTTAATACCTAGTTTTTACTTGTGTATTTTTTTATTCATTACAAGTCTAAAGAAAATGATAAACTATCAGAGTCTGGTTTTGAATAGTGGGGGTCCCAGTACAACTAAATTTCATATTGACTGGACAAAAGGTTAATAATTTTCATGTACATATGAAACACCTGCTCATGTGCTGTCTGAGTACTTATGATCCTTTGTTTATTGTTGGTATAAACATGTGCAGTACTATGACTCAAAGTGTTGGACTCCTCTCTTATACATTTCTGAGACAAATGGGTTATGACAGGATAGTTGTACCAATGGTAAGTTTTTCATTTATGCAGCTAATTTCTATGGCTATTTGGTGGTCTATCTCCTTCATCTGCAAACTGCACATTGGTAATCAATTCACAAAACTCATGTCCCTGTTAATTATTATTTAGTTAAACACAGGCAAGAAGTCAAGGTTATCCACTTGAGAATTGTCTCCCTTGAGAATAGAAAACTGACCAAGCTGATAAGTCAAACTTATTTTCTGCATCAAAATTTGTTTTATGCATAGAAATGTTACTTTCTATCTGATAAATATGCACATATCCTGGCTAACAAAAGAAAAAGGAGGACTAGATTTGGAGGTCATTAACATGTTGGAAGCACTCAAGTCACCTTCCTTTTTGTTGATATTTTTGAGAAAATTAAAAGTAATGCTTCACCTCTATCTTAGTTTCCTTAAGAGTAATTTGAGACCTTGAAGCTATTGTACTCGAATATGCTCATTTCCTGCCTTCAAACTCACTGTTAGATCTTTCTCACTACACAGGTGGATTACGAGTATAACTCATCAACTAAAGCATTTGGGCCCATACCTGAACATGCCAAAGAACACTTTGCTTCAAACCTCTCAACGGTGTTGATGTGGTCTCCTTATTCAACAGAAAAGGAACTTCTGAACCAGGTAAGCTTAATTAGGAAATTTTCACTTTTGCTTAATTAGAATCATATATTTGTGCAATCTTTAGAATAGTTTCCCTTCTATAATCAGATGTTTATGCAATGACAAATGGTATTAAAATTTCTCTTCACTTTTGCTTAGTTATAGACTTGCTATGTGAAAACCAAAAAGAAAAAAAAAAGGAACTATCTTGATTTGGTTTAGCTGTAGGAAAACCACAACATTAAAAAAAATATAGATTCTTTTAAATGTCTTGTTGGGCTTTTATACCCGTAGTACAGATTGCTGGCTTCAGAGGTGATGGTGGCTGTGCAGTTGGATTGCTGGTGATGAAGGTGGTCCTTTGCTGGCACTGGTTGTCATAAATTGGATGGCTGTGTACAAAATGGTATCCTTAATTTGTCAACTGAGTGTTATCACTGCACAAAGTTATGAAGATTGAATGATTGGTTCATTTAATAGAGTCGACAAAGGAGCATAGGTTCCTTACTTTTGCTTTGCGGAACTTTGATAAATGATGTTGTGTATCTGAGGCTTCAAGGATGCAGTTTTCTCGTGGTTCTTGTTGCAGATGCCATGACTCTCCCACTTTTCTAAAGCTTTATGTTTCATCATGTTTTTCATTTCCCTTGTTTTGGATGATGATGTTAACTCAGTTCTCAGTTTGATGATGTAGGCCATCATGGAACAAAAATTGTTATCTACAATCTTTGGTTAAACAACGATGGGGATATGGAGCTAGATTTTGATTCTGATCCCAGGGTTTCCTTCACCCCTTTGCCTTTATTTCCTTCTGAAGTAGCCATTGCAATAATGTTTTGATGGTTTAGCATTGTGTGATCGATTGTTGCAGGATATTCGTATCCATGGGCACCCAAAAATATGTATGGGAGGTGACAGCACAAAACAAAGTTTTGATCAGCACATAGCCAACAGATACCACTATTCACTTCGTGTACGTCTAAGATTTACATCTTGATCTGGCCAACAAATTTACATTTACTTACTCCCTCAAGCTTTACAGGCATACTTATCGATCCTATATCTGCGGCTACCTTCACGCTTCAATGTTATACTACGAGGACAATTTGTCAAGCACCATAATATTGCTGATGATCTCATGTATCGTGAGTACATAGCATATAAGCCTCAGACTGGTCACACTGAGGTTCGTGCTAGCTTCTCTACCTGTGTACTGTCTGTGCAGAATATTGTGCGTTATTGTGTGCTTGCATGTATTGAAGCCATCGATGGTTGCATTTTTCAGGCTCTAGTTGTTACTACCATAGGTTTCGTGAAGGAAGCTCCTAGCGTAAACATTCATGGTTACTGCATCTACCACAAGAACCGTCTTATATTGGTAAAAACCCTTCATCATTTTGTTGCAGCCTTAAACTCATTTGATATGTTTAGCTTGTGTGTCCCTTTTTTTTTCCCCCTTTTCTTGGATTTGCTTGATTGAAACAGTGACACAGATCCAAACACCACTAACCAAATAATTTTCAAATTTAAATCACATGATTTTCAAAAATTCAAATTCAAATTACAAGTAATAATTGATTTAAATTCTTATGACTTTTATCAATCACGTACATCAAATATGAAATGAAGTATTATAGTTCAATCCATTCAAATCTTTGATATTTTTAGAGAGGTCACATATTATAATTACAATCAAGACTTGCTCTATAGGATCAAGATCGCATAACAAATTGTAGAAGTTCACGTTGGACCGATATATGATCAGATTCTAATTGTAATAACCTAGATTCAAGCACCGTTAACCCAACAAATTTTCAAACTTAAATCATGTAACCTTTAAGATTTTAAACTCCAAATTACTAGTAATGATTGTCTTGGATCTTTATAAAATTTTATTCTTTCGAAATTTCATTGTATATTGAAAATTAAGGTAAGTAAAAACGTTACCCTTGGGAAAGAACAAAGTGATTCATGTCTATTACTCTCTAAATCCTATCTTGGATCTTTATATGACTTTTAACAATCATGCACAGTAGATGTGAAATGAGGTATCACAATTTTATCTAACTTATCCATTCAAATATTTTATATTTTCATCAAAATCATACATTATAATAACAATTAAGGTACACTTTGTAGGATCGAGATCTCACCAGAAAATTATGGAAGTCCACATTGGGTTAACACATGTGATCAAATACCAATTATAACAATCCGGACCGATGCACCACTAGTCCAATGGCACCTAAGTTCTTAACCTTCAAGTCATTAGGAATGATTGCATTAGATCTTTATATTAATCCTAACAATCACATTCATATTATATGGGAAATAAGATATCACAATTTTAACCACTCAATTCTATAACAACTCAAATCCACATTCCAGATAAAATCGTGAGACCTTTCAATTTAAAAAGAGACTGCAAAATCTCATCAACTAAGTTTTTTTGGTGATGTAATTCTCTAATTTAGCTTTAACTAGATTATTAATATATATGCACATCATATTAGTTGCTTCATCCTTTTCTTGGTCTTCTCATATCTTCAATTTGTCCATGCAGCCATTTTGGAATGGACGTAAAACTACAACAGGCAGTCGGGGAAGAGGTGTTGTGGGTGAGAGCTGCTCCTGTGCTTAGTCTCAATTGTTCAAGGGGTTTCATTTAAATGAAATCAAATTGTTGTGAGCAGCTGATGATTTGTTTATGGGAGTTGCAGGTGTTCTTGAAGCAAATTTTATTGAGCCAACACACAATAAGCAAGATTTTGAGAAAACTTCCCTCTCTCGAAAGCTGCAAGACCGCTTAAAGCTAATGACACAGGAGTATTGGTGAGTACATTGGGTATCATTGGAACTATTTAATGAGTCAAAAAGGTGAAAGAAATTCAAACATACTCAGCATTGAACTGCCCCATACCACCACCATTATTGAACGCTCAAGGAAAATTATTATTTGGTTTAAGGCATTTGCTCCAATATATAAGGTGAACTTATATAAATAATTAGGGGTTGGATTGAAGGCAATTCCTTTAATATCATAATTTTTTTGCGTTGGACCCATATAGATATATCCGTTGGATATGTATGAAGAGTCGGAGCAATATAGGTTTTAAGACACGCTAGTGAACAAAACTTTCAAGATATCATAATCAACCCGAAGTCCTTTACAAACTTTTGTTTTAATTTAAATTCACCTGGATTTGAATTCATTCTGCTCTAATCAAAAATGTCACCTCAAATGTGTCTGGATCCATTATGTTCTGATGAATTAATGTGTCTATGGCACTATTTTATCTTGGCAGGCGTTTGCACTGTGAACTGATTGGTTATAAACCAGAGAGAAAAACTAAAGTAACATCGTCTTCGCGGGCATACTTGCTAGATTTTGTGGTCCCAAAAAGGAAGAGATCTGCTTTAAACCAAACCAGGAGACACCAAGGTGCTTAACCTATCAAAAGTTGTCAACAAAGATGCAAATGCTTGAATTTGTTGTTGCTGATGTGGATGACTTGTTGGCATATCTTACAAGTTCCTATTTATCTTAAACAGGTTCAAATAGGAAGAATAAGGAGGTTAATCCCCCAGAAACTGATACTGTCCACCATGGAGAATTGCAGGTTTATACAAATATCTCTATCTTAAAGTTCAGTTGTGAAAATATCATCAAGCTTATATTAAGAGATTAGAATAGGTTAACTGATATAGAATGTGTATCTGGCTGCTTTCATTGTGACTTCTTTTCTACAACTGTTTTATTAATTTTAGTGAGCCATCCCTTTGTAACTTAATTTCAACTATTTATGGAAGTAAGAACCATATCCATCGATGATGATGTTTGAACTTGTCTTCATAAGTGTTAGCCTCCAAGGATCAGTCTGAGTACCTAGGAACATGATGGGATAGCAGTTTCTACTGTTTACCATTTTAGTGTGTTGTCTATACTCTTCAGCAGCCCATCTTTTTCTTCATTGTGACTGGTGGAAAACGGGCTTATGAACATAGCATATCATTGTTCTGTAGAGTGATGTTCATTCTGGGTTAATTGGAAGTTCTCAGGTAAAACTGTTTGCTGTGCATAAATGATTCATGATCTAGCAGAGCTGCTTTACTTTTATTTACTTGAACATGGATCTTATTACTGTTATCTCCACCCATTATATATTTCATATTCGGTTGATTTACTGGAAAAGGGATCGTTATTTATTCCTTGTCATATTGTGCTGGCAGCCTGAAAAAAGGATCAAGAATGAAGTGGAACATTCAGAGAAAATAATTCTGATGCAAAGAAACAAAAGGCTGCACTCACAGTGAGTAGAACACTTCAACAATATATTGTCATTTTCCTAGAGATAGTATTAGGTTGGGTGGGAAGCTTTGGAAAATGAAGATACTTAGTTTATGCTTGACAACCTAGAGCCTGGCCTGACTTGCATCCCAACTGCCTGTCAATGCTGTCACAAAATTGCTAGTATACATCATCTTAGCTGATTTCTTGCTTGATTTGCAGGCTATTGGAGTTAGAGAAGAGGGAAAAAGAACTTAACATGAAGGTAAAAGGGCAATCTGATTGATGCATTGGTAAACCAGTTGGAAAGACTTTCCATTTGGTCAACTTTTGGCACACCTTAACTTCAAGTTATATACATCTGCTTACACAAGAAAAATATATGCACTGCACAGCCTTGATTAGGCTTCACTTTCATTATCTCATCCTTGTTTGCAATTGTTGCAGGTGCAGCAACTTCAAAGTGAATTACAGGATGCCCAGCATGAGTATAAAATGCTGGAGTCAAAATTACTGGACATGTCTTAGGAGGATAAGCATGTAAATGGGTAGATTTGGGGAAAAAAGATCTCCCATCTGTGATGAATATTTTGTCTATGATCTTCTTACTTCACCTTGCATGCAGCCCTCCACCTGCATGCTCAGACCATTCAACCCTGGTTTTCTTCAGTTGAAACCTGGACTCTCTTGTCCTCTGAAACAAAATTTCAATAACTTCTTTAGCTAAGTAGAGGGCGAACCTTTTCCCTCATGGCTTAACTTAGTTTGGAGGATGAAGATTTAAGTAGAGAGACTAGAAACAAGACTTGATATGCTCTAATTTTGTATCAAGAACTGCCAAACTTGTTCTCTCAGATGTTTATGCTACAGCTGCAACCAATATACAATTATGCGCCCTTATATGCAGCCTTTTAACTGTCTGCTTGGATGATGATAACGCACATTTTCTCGAAAAGGTAAATGGTCTATTCTACAGCATAGAACATCCTTGAAATCTAGATCATTTCAACAAGTCAGGGGAAGGTGAGAGTGTCAGTTAGAGAAGATATTTCAAGGAGCCCAGCATTTCAGATCTTAAGAGCTCCAAGATATCATAAATCTCAGCTGATTCGGAGTGTGTTCCATCGTCTGAATAAAAAGAATATACATGGGTTCTCACCTCAACCCAACTGCAGCCACCACTCTTTTTCAATCCCTTCTCCCTCATTAACTTCCTAATATTTGAAACATCAATCCATCTCCCAGCTGAAGCATATATGTTAGACAACAAGACAAATCCGGCGGAGCTTTTCTCTGCTAGTTCACCTAGTTTCCTAGCTGTTCTCTCTGCTATCGCCTCATTTTTGTATGTCTTACAACCACTTAGTAGAGCTGCCAAAGCATTAGCTTCAGGTTGAAATGGCATGGAATTAATGAAAGCTTCAGCTTCATATAGGCGTCCGGATCTAGACAGCAAATCCACCACGCAGGTGTAGTGTCTTCCCTTTGGCCTTATACCATATACTCTCTCCATTTCTTCAAAGAACTGGAGCCCTTTATCAACTAACCCGGAGTGGGAACATGCAAACAGAACTGATAGAAGCATGAGCTCATTAGGAGCAACAGCGGACGTTCTTCTCATTTCTTCAAACAAGGCAAGAGATTCTTCTGCAAAACCACTTTCTGCAAGACCTTGAATCATCACAGTCCATGAGATTTCGTTTCTCTCCGGCATTCTATCAAAGACCTGCTTGGAGCTCGCAATATCTCCCGATTTTGCATACATGTCAGTTAAGGCAGTGCCCAAGAAAACATCATTTTGGAACCCTAGTTTGACAACCTTTCCATGGAGATCCTTGCCTTTCTCCAATGAGGCTATGCTTGCACAGGCACAAAGCACACTCGAGAAAGTGGGCTTGGTTGGAATTTCCCCTGTCAAAAGCATCTCATTAAAAACTTCAAACACCTTATCAAATTGCTTATATTCCAGATAGCCACCAATTATAGCACCCCAAGAGACGTTATTTCGAGTAGGCATGTGATCAAACAAATTCTTGGCTTTATCCATTTGTCCATTTACACTGTACCCACCAACCATAGAATTCCATAAAACCACATTCTTCTTTTCAATTGAATCAAAAACCAAGCGTCCATCTTCAGTCTCCCCACATTTACAGTACAAGTCAACAAGAGAGCTACTAATGAAAACATCTCCCTCAATCCCAATTTTCTTAACATGTGCATGGATGTTCCTCCCTGCTCGTAAAAGCTCAAGGCTAGCCAATGCACTGAGAATGCTAGAGAAACAAGAGATAGTTGGCTTGAGGCCTTGTTGAACCATTTGTCGAAAGAGGTTCAAAGCCTCTTGATGGTCACCACTCTGACTATACCTAGCAATAATTGCACTCCAAGAAACTTCATTTCTTTCTGGCATCTCATTGAAAATCCTCCTTGCCTCTCCCAAGTTCCCCATCTCCACATACATATCTAGTATTGCTGTCCAGGAAACAACATCTCTCGTTTCCATGCGATCAAACAGCCTCCTCGCCAAATCAAATTCGCCCATTCTTAGACACAACGTTATCAAAGAGTTACAGACCGATACATTATCCTCAAACCCGGTTTTAACTATCAATCCTACAACACTCATTCCCAACTCGACGTCACCTGTCTCTATGCACGCGCTAACTACAGAAGTAAAAGTAACTTGATTTGGCTTAACCCCAGATTCAAGCAACCTTACGAAAAGCTTCAGACCATGAAAACCAAACCCGTTTTGCACGAACCCACTGATTCCTGCAGTCCACGAGACCACATTCTTAAATGGGTTCCTTTCAAAATACCACATTGATTCTTGCACTCTTCCATGTTTCATTAAACCCGAAATCAAAGTCGTCCAGGAAACCTCGTTTCTCTCAGGCATTTCATCGAACAGTTTTCGAGCTTCTACCAAATTTCCCCACCGAACATTAGCATTTATCAAACAATTTCGGACAACTAAATCAAACCCATCAAGCTCCTTCAGAATCTGATTAGCTTCGGGTAATTTCCTAAAATTAAGGTACATTATTAATAGCTTGATAGCTATAAATCTCTCAGAAAAAATACCCTTTTTAAATAAATGGCCATGGAGGAGAGCTCCTCCTGATACTAAACCTTCGTCTGAGAAATTTTTCAATAAAGAAGCACATTTATGAACATAAGAGTTGAAGTTTTTGCTTGGATTAGTTAGGAAAAGGGCTTTCAATGCAGTGCTCATGCTACGAAAATGGGATTGGAAAAAACTGCGTTCGATGAAATTTGGTGGGTATTTATATGGAAGATGGTTCCATGTGGCGGGAAATTGGAGGAAAACGACATGAAGTTGTGGAAAATTATAACACGTCATTAGAAAGAAAGTAGAATTAATAATATCGAGTCTTAATCATTTTTATTTTTTATTTGACAAAAAAAATTGTAATCTAACTTTTATACTTATCACTAAGTCAAATGTTTGAAACTTTAAATCTTGATAAAAAAAATTCTTATTGATTATCAAAATAATTATATGGGTTATCAAAATAACCACATCTATTTTTTAAAAGAAATATATTTTTTAAAAGAAAAAATACGATATAAAAAAATCATTCATTATCGATGAAAATTTTTCTTTTGTAATAATTTAAGATTTTTTAAATAAATTAAACAACATCAAATAGATTTTTTTCAAATAAAAATGGTAATTCAGATGAAATTATTGAAGAAATATTTCATCGATAATAAGTTGATGAGATTAATTATTACGAAAATTTTAATCAAAAATATTGGTTCGTATCAAATATTTATTTAACATTAAAGATTTACTAACAAATTTTTTCACGAATTATTTTTTATTGTTAAAATTCGTTGATAATCCAAGAAAAATACTTCTGAAATCCATAAAATTTGTTCCGATAATCAGTTTAATTATAATAATAACTACACTTTGAAATGATCTATGATTCCTATACTCTAACCTAAATAATTGCAATAACAATAAGAAATAAAAATTCCCCCTCTAGCTAGCTTCATACTTGTGTCACTATGACGGAGAGATTGTTAAGAAGGTGCTTCACATCCAATGCCTTAGGTGGCTGCCCAAATGCCAGCCTGACTTTGGACCACGTATCTCAACTACCCCACATCACAACAAACAGATCTCCTAAAGCTCTATATATATTTATATATATATATATATATATATATATAAAAATTAAATTTTAATCGATGAAATGTCATTTTAAATTAAATTTACTTTTATTATATATACGAAATAATTAATTTTGATATTCCAATTCAAAAAGGTTTATTTTGTTTATATATAATATCATTTGATTATAAAATGTCACTTTATAAATATCTAAATTTAAAAATTATTTAAAATGAATATTTAATTTTTAAATTTTTTATTAGTATTATATAAAATTTATACAGAAATAATATACCAAATATAAGATGCCTCCAATCCAATGTCTGCGTCAAACCAAAAGAACTCAACAACTTTGCTTCTCAAGTTCAAGTTTGTACAAAGGGCATATATTTCTTTGAAAGAGATGTTTGGGACCTATGTTATCTAAATGCCTGCCTGCATGTTACCTTCACCAGATGGTCTTTTAGCAGCAAAGCCGTCCCACAAATTGCAGCAATAAAGAGAAATTGAAAAAAAAATAAAACTAGATAACTATTAACTTAATTAGATTATGTAATAATTAATTTGTTCTTATTAGACATCGGTCAATTAAAAGTTTAAAATATTAACTTTATATAATAAGGTTAGAATGCAAAAACTTAAACAATAAAATAACTTCAAGACATGTGTTATTAGTATGCAAAAAATATAATGAAATTTAGTAACTGATTACATTTTGTATTGATGAAACTAATTCATTAAGCATATATTAATATATGATAAAATTATTAAATTTTTATAAAATTTTTTACAGTAAAATAGTATGAAAGAAATCTGAACAATATCCAATAAATACATCTTAAACATAATTAGTCAATGCATTTATTTTCAATCTTTTTCGAGTGGGAACATCAGATATCAAAAGAAAAGAAAAAAAGGGTTTATACTCCTTGAATTGCCTAGCTACATGTCACCTTGTAATTCAGACCTCCAAGACAAAATTCATGGCAAAACGTGATACGACAACCACCATGAAAAGGCATGCATGACGCCACATTACTTCCTCAAGAGCTGGAACTTTTCATAGAATCAATGGCTGATGCCGTGCTATGACCTACCATGCTTGTTCTTTTCCTTCCTTCCCCCCCACACATTATCATGTCATTATGCTCTGCCAAACCACAAATTATGTAAACTGGTTCACTGTTTGGAAAAATGGCTTCATATTTCAAGGAGAAATTTTATATTTCAAAGGGAGAAAACAGTAAGAAAAATAATTAAACATAAAGCCAACCAATCAATCTCAAATGAAAAGTATTTGACCATTTAATTTATTAATTGTTGTATAATTTTTTTAATTAAAGAACAGAGTTCGAATTTAAAAAAAAAAAAATCGATCTCAAATGAAACTCATGCATGCCCCATAGTTATTTTACCACAAGAGGGCCTTGATTTGATTGAGATAATAATTATATCCTTGCCATTAACTAATTACCACTTATTTAATTTTAGCAACAATTCCATCATTATGACAGAGATGAGATATTAACTTCCATTAATGACTAGCAACAAAACGTTGGAGGGGGGGCCGTGTATTCCAATATGAACAACCCAACTTGGCTTATCTATATCAATGTAACGAACTTCAAGAAAGCTTCTCTAAAACATTAAACACATTTCTGTTCCTGTTGCCAAACCAGCATCCTTACCTCCATGGAACCTTGTTCCACGAGAAAGCTTCCCTTCTCTTCGCCTGTAGACTCTGATAACAAAGCAACTGAATTCCACCCACTGTCCTCCTCAACACCTCACATGCGTGCCTTTCACCTAGCATGGCTCTCTCTCTTCGCTTGTTTCCTTTCCACCTTTTCCATCCCTCCCCTTATACCAGTTATCCGCAACGACCTTAACCTCTCCGTGACTGACGTAGACACTGCCGGCATAGCTGCTTTCGTTGGCTCATTCTTCTCTCGCCTTGCCATGGGACCTGTATGCGACCTTGTTGGCCCACGTATCGCCTCCGCCTCACTCTCTCTCATCACCGCACCGGTTGTTCTAGCCACGGCTTTGGTCTCGTCGCCAACTTCTTTCATTCTCATTCGGTTTCTTACAGGGTTTTGTTTGGCTAACTTTGTTGCTAACCAGTTCTGGATGAGCTCAATGTTTTCTAGCTCTGTCATTGGCCTTGCCAACGGAGTATCAGCCGGGTGGGCTAACGTGGGAGCTGGGGTGGCTCAGTTGGTCATGCCACTGATATATTCCCTAGTAAAATCCTTTAACGTACCAGAGAATACTGCATGGCGTGTCATTTTTGTTGTTCCTGCTGCTTTCCAAGCTCTAACAGCAATATTGGTCTTGGTTTACGGCCAAGACCTGCCTTGTGGGAACTATAGATATTCCGGGAAGGCTTCCAACAAGCCAAAGGAGAACTTCTTTAAAGTTCTCTTTCATGGCTTGTTGAACTATAGAGGGTGGATACTAGGTTTGATATATGGTTATTGTTTTGGGGTGGAAATCACAATGGATAATGTTATAGCAGAATACTTTTACTATAGATTTGGAGTGAATCTAGAGATTGCGGGTACGATTGCAGCTTGTTTTGCTTTCACAAACTTGTTTGCAAGGCCAACAGGTGGGGTGCTTTCTGATCGGTTGGCTAAGAGGTTTGGAATCAGAGGCAGGCTATGGGGTTTGTGGGTGGTACAGACGGTGGCTGGCTTGCTGTGTGTATTGCTGGGGCGACTCAACTCCCTGGGGGCTTCTGTTGCTGTGATGTGTGCCTTCTCTGTGTTTGTTCAAGCATCTTCTGGCCTCACGTTTGGCATTGTTCCTTTCGTTTCCAAAAGGTATGATCTAGTACATTTGTTTGCTATGATGACTTTTCACAATTTTCTATTGCCTACAGACAATCAATATTTTAGCGAGTACTGTCACCAACTGAAAAACCATTGTCTTTAAACTGTTCTAACAAACAAACATGTTGACGAAAAAAAGTAATATAATTTAGCATTTATTGTTGATATAAAGACAACAGTTAACAGTAATTGAGATATTACAATTCAATGGTTGAAGGTCAATGGGAGTGATATCAGGGATGACAGGAAGTGGAGGGACGCTGGGGGCTATTGTGACACAGATGCTGTTATTCTCAGGAAGTAAATTCTCGACACAAACAAGCATTTCTCTCATGGGACTTATGATGATAGCATGCACCCTTCCAGTCACCTTAATCTACTTTCGTCGAGGGGGAGGAATATTTTGTGGTACTTATTCCTTTAATGAAAATTCAGCTGATGAAGATTATCACCTGCTCGTATAAGATGAAGAGCAGACGACATATATACAATATTTACTAAAGTTAGTTTCAGATGAAAGAGACCAGAAATTGAAAAAATGAGACAAATCGTATGCTGATACAAACTGGTGACAATATTTAGTAGAAGCCTGTCCAAATGTTTAATCTATAATGTAAATGATCCATAACCCCAAGAAAGTAATGATTGGGTTTATCAAGTCTCAGCTTTGTATTTATAGAGGAAAAAGAAAACATTGAAGCAGAAAATGCTGCATGGAACTATAATTTTTTTTTTTTGGGTGAAAGTTGCATGGAACTATATATTAAAATGCCATCTAGTCTGGTTCACAGCCATTAAGTACAAATAGGAACATTTGTACAAGAGTAATAGGATTTCCTCATCAAATTAGAGGTAATGGCTAATGCAAAGGAATATTATTGGTCAATCCTCCAGATAAGGTTGTGCGTTTCCATCATTGCACCTAGAGACCCTTAAATGCATTCTTTTGTTTCATATTGCAGTGCAAACAACACATATGTTAAAAATAAAAGCATGGAAAGGGAGAAATTAACGATGTAAAGGACAAAGGGTTCTTCAAATAGATTGCAAGCAAAGAAAGTAGGGAAAAGAATGTCTTTTAATAAACAACAGTGCTTGAAGCTAAACATTAGGAATTCTACCTTAATTAGTAGCTACTTTGAGTTGAAGTTCAATTTACCTCGTTATCTCTGTGGTGGACCAGAGCACTGCTCCTGATCAAGGAAATATATACCCAGTGACGATGGCAATGTCCACCAACCACCAAGAATCCCAATTAAATGTAACTTCTGGTCGCCAATTTCTACTTTAGCAATGCAGAGAAGCTTATAATCTTGGACTTCAACTTTGTTGGCATGCAGTGACTGCATGGTAAAGTAGTTGTCATTAAATGCAAGCAGCTTAAAAGCAAATCCAGTATATTACACCATGAATAGATTCTAAACTAGACTCTCATTGCAGTGATTATTCCTGTTATCAGATGATAAATAATTTTCTTTCCATAAAATTCCATTGTTCACATGCCGATAGGAGTTGGAGAGAAATGTTATCCTTGTCAGAATAAGTCAATAGAGTTCATCCAAGAAGTGAAACTACAAGCAGAATGGTTGTTGGTGAGGCAACTTTAGTTTTCGCTTGCTACTGATGATAATTGGCAAAAAATTCCATGCCGATGACAGACAATTTATTGAAACTAAATGGGAAAATATCATCAGATTAAAACAAGAATCTTTAATTAAACCTCAAACAATTGTTCTTCAACAAGCATTGAAAGAAATAAGCAATAAGAATAAGAGCATACCTTACATATGTAAAAATGAGGTTTGTGGTGCATATATCCGTGACATAACTGCAAAATCAAAACTGCAGTCAAAAGCTTGTAATGCATGAGACACTTGATCAGATTGCAACTTAGAAGGCGAATTCCAACCCAATTCTATAACTAGAAAAGGACTAGAGCAATCATATCAGAGTTCTGATACAATCACAGGTCAATGAAACTCAAGTGGCAGCAATCATCTCTAATAAGGAGGCACCCCTGCTTTTCACCTCCTCGTTCAACAAGAAGCCCTACTACCTTGGGCATCAATCAAAGTTGTAGAGTGCTGGGTTGGGGTGGGCTTTCCTTTCAAAAAGTGATTATAGCATCATCCACTCAACCACTCAATTTGGAGTCATGCCTGATTCATTGGCCAGAATGTTAACCCTATTGGTCTTTATTGCTCTTCAATCAATCACTAATACTATCATCCTCGCAGTTGTACCAACTCATTTAAAAAATGAAGGAGATCTGGAGTGCTGGTGATGATGATCATCATGCATATTTATCAACATATAGAAAAAGTTGTATTAGTTATAATTTTCACTTTCACATATGCTCAAAATAAGTATATAAATAATTTATAAATCTGATATCCATCTTCAGCCTATGGAGCCAGACACGCAGACACAAGGATGCAGATTGTATTACAATCATTCCCAGCAGTATGCTCACAATGCAATACTCTTCAAGCTTAATAAATTAAATCTCCTCATTAGGCTTACTGTTAATGTTTAAGTGCTAGATCCAAGCAACCAAGTGAAAGAAAGGATTTCCTGACCCTTTCAACAAAAAGATAAATTGATGAAGGGCTTGGTTTGGTGCTGAGGAGAAAAAGAAGGACTCTAATTGCAACAGCGAAGGGATTATCCCAGTTCACCAAGATAGTAAATATGAAAAAAACAGGCAGCCATAATTTTTTCATTAACATCCAGAGTTTGTGGCGATCATCTTCTCCTTCTGAAGCATCAAATGACTCTATATGATAATCATCTACCAAAATGTCGAGACCTACATTGTTGAAATTCAAAACATGCAGGCCAGTAAGAACAAGTATAAAAGGACAAGGAACTAAGTATGTATAACTAAAAGTAATAGTTTGCAAGCATGGTAGTTGGTACCATACCAGGCAATTGACTTACCATCCATTGCATATGTAAAACGTGACCAACAGTAGACAACTCCAAATACAACTGATACACCAAAAATGCTTCTGGCATTTCTACTTCCTGGAACAATTCCAACATCAAGAAGGATTCTCAACAATAAGAACCAAATTTCATCATGAGCAAACAAAAAACCAACTATTACAATGATAACCAATGCGCCTCAATCAAAAAGAAAATAATAATCAGGCTTCAAATTTACTTAAACTGCATCGTTAGGAAGATTGCTACTTCAAAGAAAACCTGACAAGATTGCTACATAAGAAAAATAACATGCACTAGCAATTTGTGAATAGAAACAGCTACTGCTAGAAGCAATTTGATCATACTAATGAGTGCAAAAAATGGCTACTTCCATGAGATCTATGCCAATGGCTTCAAATCATGAAATTGAAATTCTCAGAGGTGATTCATCAACCTGGTTCATTGTAGGCGAAAATTCAGAGCCAAAACTCAGAAAACAGTTCCTTCAAGTCATAAACATTGGCATGGAACAATTTTTAATCTACAAACCAGTTCAACAATTACAAATAACATAACATCAGAGAGAAAATAATCCAGAAACAATGAAATTCATATTAACCAAAAAAGAAGGGTATTCGTAAAACCAATAATCAATAAAAGCTGCAAGTTTAATAAAATGGGTAACAGTCAAATTTCGCTAAAATTCAATCAAAACTGCAAAATTTACATGAACAGGCAACTACAACAGCAAAGAAAAATCATATAAAAACAAAACAAAACAAAACTTTCCTGATAAGCAAAAATCTTGAACATATTTTCTGTATATATTTAGTTTATGCTCAAACTTTGAGGCCCTGTTTTGTAGTGTAGGTTCCATACTCTCTGCCCATGTTCTCAAAGGTCCAAATTTTCCATGAACTGCAAGGAAAAAAAAAGTGATAAATTAAAAAAATTAAAAATGAGAATTTAGTTTGATAAAACTTACATAGTTTCCGGGATTGAGAAATTGATTGTCTAATCGGAAGCAGAAATTTGGCTGTCCATGCCATCTTTTTCCACCGCTGCAATTGTCTCTGCCTAGGCGCCGCTCTGTAATCAACAATGAGTGATGACAGTGCGTAAAAAACGACGTCGTATTTTCCTCTTCCCGCTGACAAGGCATCGTTCACTCCTATTGTCACTAATTGCTGACGTGTGAAGTTGGGATTGGTTGTTGGGTTAAAAAGTGAAAGCCGTTGAATAAATATCCACTATAATATCTATATATAGAAATAAAACACTCCTGAAAAGAACAATAAAATCAATAATGATGAGCTGTGGAGTTCCAATTTACCAATTCTCAGTCCCAAAATCTTCTAATATTTATGGCAATTTCAACCCAAACAAGTCTAATTCAAGGTAGTTCCATGCAAATCTTTCAAATCTTTTGTAAACTTGCAGGAAGTTATATGATTGTTTTTCTTTGTCAAGGTGGGGGAAGAAATGGACTGAGGTTAGATGTTGTAACCAAAGGGTAGGAGAGAAGGCTAGAGCAAAGAAGAATTATTATGAGTTGCTAGGAGTTTCTGCTGATTCTAATCCCCAAGAAATAAAAGAGGCTTACAGGAGGCTGCAGAAGAAGTATCACCCTGATATTGCTGGCCAAGAGGTCCAAACTTTTGACTATCTCTTTGATCTAAGTGTTTTCCTCCTCCTCATTGGAAAAGCTAGATTAAGGTTGACAGAAGTTCTATGGTCTATTTCTTATGTTAATGGTTTGGATTTTAATGGAGTTTACTTGTATTTTGATGGGTTCCTTTTGTTTAGGGTCATGAGAATACTCTAATGCTGAACGAGGCTTATCAAGTGCTGATAAAAGATGATCTGAGGAGAAATTACGATGCTTCCATTGGTCCAATCAAAGTACAATTTGGAAACACTGTATCTGGTTATAGCTCTTGGAAAGGGCCGTTGAGACCCCAAGCTTTATTTGTTGATGCAAACGCATGCATAGGTTGTTCTTTTGCCCCGTTTCAAGTCACTTTATTGCATGTTATGGTCTAAATTCCAGCCTCTATTGCCATGCACATGGATTATCTAGGTAATGGATGCATGTGCTGCTTTACAAATTGGTTTGTTGGCAGGTTGCAGAGAATGTGTCCACCATGCAAGCAACACATTTGTAATGGACGAAGCTCTTGGATGTGCACGAGTTAGAGTTCAATATGGAGACAATGATCAGAAAATTGATGTAAACAATATTTTGTGTTAGAATCCGTGTTCTGCATCATAGCATCAGTTTGTTTTAACTGCTTATAGGGATGCTTGGAAAATTTTGCAGGTTTCAGTAGATTCATGCCCAGTGAACTGCATCCATTGGGTGGATAGAGAAGAGTTGGGAGTGCTTGAATTCTTGGTTCAACCTCAGCCAAAGGAAGGGTATGGCATATACGGAGGGGGTTGGGAAAGACCTGCAAATGTATTTATGGCAGCTAAGGCTTTCAGCAAGCAGTTAAAACAGCAGGCTGAGGCTGAAGGACAAGGAAGTAGTATAGCTTTAACCTCTACATGAATGAATTCACTATTTTCTATTGTTACGATGTTTGTTTAACAGAATTGGTTCTTAAATGCTGCAGGGAGAGTGGCAGTAGAAGAAGAGACCCCTGCTCAAGCAGAGGCTCGAGCCAATGCTAGCATGAAGATAAAGATGGAAAAATTCAGCAGAATTTGGAATAACTTTAAATCATTTTTTGGCTCAAACATATGGGATTCGAAGTGACATATGCAAGACAGCAAAAGAACATCTTCATTCTTATCCTTCCCAAGAAGCAAAAAGATGTCACTCAAATGTAAATGACTGGAGTATGATGTAGATACAAAGATAGGACCAAATACACATCTGCTTCATGGTTGTTGCCTCTACTTTGCATATATGAACTGCATACATGGTAAATGGAGGACTGTGTATTCTGCCTTGGTTTTAAAATACATGGAAATGGTTATGCTCTCTCTCTCTCTTTCAATCTGTAGTATGCTTTTCTTTTTCTTTTCTAGTTTCAGAAGTTGTCATCAATATAGCCACATGATTAATCTTGAGTTCATTATACGGAATAAAACATTACTCAGCATATTAGCGAAAGTACGGTAGCAGGTCAATAGAAACAATACATCATTATGACGGTGAAATCAGCTATGAAAAGTGAAAAGGATGTGAACTTTTATACCAACAAATAACTTAATCTTTATTGCACATCAGATTTTACAAATCATGTTTGATCAGGTGCCTGGAAAGGAAGAGTGGCATAAATTATAGACAGAACATCCAGAAAGATGGGAAAAGAATAAAGTTACAATGCAACAATTTGCATTAACATGTGTAACTCCTATGCTAAGATCTCAACTTTCACCAAAATGGGAACCCTCCCAATATTCAATCCCAAAAACTTAATTTTTACTTCCATGAGTCAATAAAGCTTGCACTTGCTTGTTCCAGCACAAGCAGCACACTCATCTGCATCTCCTGCTACATGGCTCAAGCAGTGTTTGATCCTATCATTCACAACATCCTGCAGTATAGAACACAATTCAAAGAAGAAGATACATCACAGTCAGGTAAAAGTAATATAACATGAGGGTGAAACTGTTGATGACAATGATAGTAGATAAAGAAAAATCAAAAAACCAAGACAAGCAAAAAAAGAGCAATTCACTTTTGATGTTTGAGCAATAACAAAGAAAGTTTCACAAAAATCCTGTACTTGACAATATATTACAGACTCCTTTGTCTCAAAATCTTATTACACAAGCTAAAGGTAAAACTAACGACCATTTTGAAACATAGCAGGAGAAAAAAATACAAAACTCATACAAAGTCTATGGCAACCAATGCGAAAAATAAGAGAATTCATACCACAAGCAGCTCGTGCAGGCCCAGTGGTGCAGTTACCATATATGATACACCAGGGTGCTCTTTTGCAGCATCAGCAGTTAACGATGGGATATCCTGGCAAACAACATAGTATCATACAGCAAAATGGAATTAACCAAATCTCTTTAAATGCTACATTTGTTCTTTGTCAAGTTATCAGATGCAAATATAATGAACTACCTGGTACCAATGCCTTCCAGGGAAGAGAAAGAATGGGCTTACAATCACACGATTTGCCCCTCTCTGAACACACAAACCAAATGCATCTCTTATCGTTGGCTCTGCCAACTCCTAGTTACATTTAACTGAAAATGTAAGAATTCAGTGCCCCATATACGCTACAGCATCTTAATACGCACCAAATACAAAAACACATCCACCAATGTTTCTAAATGCAGTGAACCAAATAAAAAAGACGACTTCAAAGCTAAACTTTGTCATCAAATTGCATTCTAACAGAACACATTCAAAGTGGGAATTCCTCTAGCATTCTTGGTTAAAAAGCAGTAACTCTTTTTTCACTGAAGAGAAAGCATTTACTACAATGAAAGATAAAGGTCCAGTAAAAAAAGAAAACAGATTTACCATATGAGCTGGCTCAACGAGTAGGTACCCGGTTTTGTCTCTAAACATAGCTACAAACTCATCTGGAAAAATGAAAAATAATTACCAAAAAGAGATAGAATTACCAGTTTAACCAAAAATTAAGAGTGTATGAAGCTTACTTAGCATAAGATTCGATTCTCTACGGCGCGAGCCATGGTCCACGATGATTACTCCATCCTTTTCACCGACCCCATTCGGGAACTGTTTGTATCCGCCATTCTCGAAGCTCACACTAGACCTTGCTGAGAAATTTCTGCTTTTTGGAGGGACCCTTTGAAAATCCGAGGATTTGAGGGGTCTCCATGTTGATTTTCTTACAGGTTCATTAACTAAAGAGCTGTAATTTAAAGGACTTAATTGAAAAAACGACAGAGTATAATTTTTTAGGAAATGGAAGAAAGATCAATTAAAGCTTTTCTTACCTTTTAAGGGTGAGAGTTTGAGGGATAGATAACGACTCTATCGACATGGTTGCAGCCAAGGCAACTTTCGAAAAAGTAGTGAAAATGCTTTTAATATGAAGAAGAAGGAATAAACGACCCCGTATCGGAGATGAATTCTTTATTTAATCTTTTAAGTCTTCCATTTTTATTTATTGATTTGGGCCACAAGGAAATTCCAGCCCAACTCTTGTTTGCTCTTTAAGTTAGGGATAATTGAGTAATTATCTGATCTAATGAGGAGATTTGAGGGTTGTGGGTTGGGTTTTTAATTTTTTTAATTATTTATTTTTTAGTCTAATTGTAAAACGAGATCGTTTTGCTCTTGTTACTTAAAATTTTGAAAAAAAATAAAAGAAAGAGATCAATTGAGAAAAAGAAAGGGAATGTAAGAAAATTAAAATAAAGGTTTTAGAGAATAAAAATTTAGGAAATTTTTAAGACTTTATGTTTATATTAAATATAAAGTTGACAGTAAATATGAAACTTTTTAAAAAGACCTTTAAATTATTTGAAAAAATTCAAATAAGTTTTCATTTTTTTATTACGTTCAATTAAATTTTTATATTTTTATTTTGAGACAAATAAACTCTTATAACTAATTATTAACTTATTCAAAATTTTATTTGTTATTTTATGTCAGATGACATATTGACATGTTATAATGGATGATGACATGATATGTTAATATGGTATGATGATATAATCAAGTGACATTTTTTATCTTTCATATCAATGTCACATGGACGTAAAATAATAAGTGACATTTTGACCGATGATAATTAGTCAATCATTAATCATAAAAGCTTATTTGATTTAAATTAAAAGTATACAAATTTAATTCAAAGTAATAAAAGAATAAAAATTTATTTTAAATTTCTTATACAATTTAAGAACTTTTTTGAATATCGTACCTAATTTTAAAGAATAGTCGAAGGCTTTTCTTTTTCATTACCATCATCGTTTACTTAGAAATGACTGATAGAGTAATCTTGAATGTCACAGATCTTACATCAATTAAAAAAAATGAGTTTTAGGTATATAAACATGAGTCTTTCTCTACTTATTAGGAGTATCTTTTGGATTGGGAACGTGAATTTAAAATTAATTGATTTACTTAAACTTTAAAAATAGAGTTTAAACTTTAAAAATATAAACATTGGTCTTGACTTATGACGTCTGGTATAAAAGTAGATCCAGATCTTCATTAACATGAGACTTACTAATGTGAGATCCCATGAGAGATAGGAGGATTGAGGTAGATAATAAAAAGACATTATCAAAATCCATATAAAAAAAATAAATTACAACATTATAAAATATTTTTAACAGAGTAACAAAATTGAATGGTAAAATTATCTTTAACAACATTTCAGAGTACAATGCAATCTAATTGCATTAGTTTTAGACTATAATATTATATTATATAAGTTTGTTACAAAACAAACAATGAAATATAATTTAATTAGGTACATTGAAAGGAATATGTTCTCACTTTTATCGTCTCAAACACTATCGAAGAGCATACATATATCTTTACAAGACTATATATGAGTCCATCATTTCTTTTTTTTTTTCTCTATCTTGCCATGTTTGCAAATTGATACTAAAGTTATGTTAGAAGATATATTTAAGTTCTCTTAAATTGTTATTTTATTAGTTAGTATTTTTTATTTTAGAAAATGAAAAATGAAGAGTACATTTAAATATAAGAAAACTTATTTTTTAAAATTTAAAATTTAAAAAAAATTAAAATTAAACTTTTAAGAATAACAGCTACATATTTTAATTTGATAAAAAAAGTTACATTATATAATTTGATTCAGTAATTGACATGTATATATTTTTTCTCAAGTAAATAGTTGGATTCAAATTTTTTAATTTTTAATGTAAAGAAAATATAATTACATTTCAATTGCTATTTTAATATTTAATAAATATGACTTGATATTTAATAATAATTGTTGAAAACCAAAAAAAAATTAATAACCATATGGAAGAGGCTTTCCACAATATTACCAAGTATCAAGTAAGGAAGCCCCAAACGATTCTAATTAACATATTCTAATTAACATGTATATATATATATATATAAGTAAATAGTTACATTCAAATTTTTTTAATTTTATTATAAAGATATTATTATATTTTAATTTTAATTTTAATATTTATTAAAAATGACTTGATATTTAATAATAATTGTTGAAAAACTCAAAAAAACAATGTAATAACCATATGGAAAGAAGGAAGCCCTTTGTGGCTTTCCTCCTTTGTTGAATTAAAGAGTTAGTTTCAGTTAGCCTTACCTGTTTCACTTCTATTTGAAAGTTGTTACTAATAAAGAGCATATTTATCAGTTCAACATGCAAGCCGTACTTATGGCATGTGAGTCCCAATAATTGCTTAGCTCAATCATGAAAGAGTCATTAAATTAATTCCATAAGTGAGTCCCAATAATTGCTTAGGTCAATCATGAAAGAGTAATTAAATTAATTTATTTTCCTTATGGAAAAAGTAAAAAATAAACATACAGTTGGAATAAAGAAAGCCTTAAAAGAGTTGTACATGTAACTTATGCATCACCTGCAATAAGTATATTCTTTATATAAAAATAAATTTTTTATTATCATTAAAAATATTTGATGCAAATGAGTTTTCATTTGATAATAATGGATTAAATTGTATGTATTAAAATATTATCTAAATTTTGATTTTGTCAAACTCTTGGATTTTTTCCTCAATGTTATTTGGATCTAAACGTGATGATCTTGTAATCAATCTTAAACACGAATAAGAGTTTGAACCAACTTTGGAATTAAAAGAATACACATTATTTTTTTTATATTTTTTAAAGATATTTAAGTAAAAAATATTTATCAAAACACTTTTCAATTATATGATAAATGTAATAAGATCATAGTTAGCTGTAGATAATGACTAATTATAAGATGGTTGCTTAAAATTTCCTTTACATTTTTCAGATGATTAAGTGGTGAGAAGCTCTGGACTTGTGTGGAGCTAGGAGATCAAACTTAGGAGTTTACTTTGGTATTGAGATATTTGTCGATTATTTTATACTTTATGAGATTTAATGATACTTAAGCTTCTATTTGATTTGATTTACTTCTCTTAGAGACTTAATTTACCATCCCTTGTATCAGATTCATGATTTCACTTTGAGTTAAGAGAATTTTCAATGAGATTTTATTTAAGTTTTTTTTTTATTTTTTGTAAATATTTGAGGGAAGATTTCATATTATTTTGGGCCATTGCTCTAAAGGAATATGACATTGTTTCAAGGTAATATAACCATATTATGTCTCGATTTCAAGGCATAATAGATTCATTGTTACCATATAGAAATATTTACTAATTAACTTTTTCAAAGATAAATTTATTAAAAATTATTACGACAATTTCAGATTGAATAATGTTAATAGAAAAATCTCAATTGATTATATATATATATATATATATATATATATATATTGGAGGATTGAGGTGAAACACTGTGTTTAGATCTAAAACACTACAATCCAATACTATTAATTATTGAAACTTTGACGTTATAATGATGAAATATAATTATTTTTTGAGGGGTAAGTAATTGACTTTTCTTCCAAACTTAGCAGGAAAACAAAATTTGCCAACATCAAGCAATGATATCTTAGCGGATAATATCATTTTTGTTCTAAGCTAAAAGCTTCAAATTTAAAGCATTAGGGACAAAATAGAAATAATTATGCAAATAGTGATAAATTTAAGATTTTAAATAAAAAAATAATTAAAAGATAATTATATAAATTTATAAATTTATATATCTCAAATTATATATATATAATTTAAAAATGACAGTAGTCACCATCTCAACTCGACCACTAAATACAAAGGAGTTCTCTTACTCATTGCATTACAAGGAGGCAAAAGGGTGTTGATATTTGGATAATATAAGGACGAAAATGGAGGTTGGAAGATCACTGTATAGGCATTGATCAAATGACTTGAGATGGGGAGATGGACAGCCTTAGGCATTACCCCTCTTAGTAGTTGCATTTCTTTGGGAATAATAAACGACTTTGACCATCGTTACATGGTATCAAATATTATAAGGTCTCAACAAATAAGTCATTATAATTCTGTAACAACTGGTTAGTTAGCACTTCTCTTTCTCTCACCATATTGTTTTTAATGTTATTTGCTTCTCTTAGCAAATCGTCTCAACATATCATCAAAATTCACCATGAATTATTTATTTCTTTCTCTTTCCTTTTATTTTTCAGCATCATTAATTCTCATCATAGCAAAGCATAGCCATAATGTCATTCTTAATTATTGCCTTTTCAACTTTGGTTTTAACCTTTAAATCCAACCATATCTAAGAACATGAAGACAGAGAAGATAATAAAATCATCCCCCCAATTCTTTAAATTGTAAAAACAATAAAGAAAGAAAATAAATTCATAGTTACACCCTGTATATATATATATAGTAATTATTATAAAGAGATGAAAATCAAGAAAAGGAAAAAAAATTGGAAATTGATAAAAAAAACTAAAATATTGGGAAGCCTTCATTTGATTATTATACCCTTCACTAGAATGTTTTGCAAACCATAAAGATAATAAAAAAAATTGAAGCAATAATTCACTAATATGATGTAAAATTGGAACATTTAATCTAATAACAACCATTGTTAATTAAGAGATGAAAATTAAGGATATATTATAACAAAATTATAAATCAAAGATAAAGTGTCTCATAAGTATTCAAGTGTTTCACTTTTGAATGAATTCACACTTTATTTTTTCTAAAGAAGAATACATTTGAAACCTTTAGGAAGCTTTCAGAACTATAATATTCTAAAGGAGAACATGTTAAATAAGGAACTTAAGTACTACAATTCCCTGTTTAATAATTTATAAATTATTAACATAACTCTTTTACAATGTCACCAAATAATTAATCATATATGTCATAAATAAATAGATACTTGCTAAAATATAATACATGTGAAACAATCATTAATATAAAAATATATATATATATTTAATAAATAAAAAATAAAATTATTTTTTAAAGGGTATATGTCTAATAGTTATGTAGGTGAAATATTCCCCTTGGAAGCATACATAAGCCATTGGATTTAGACTGATTGCTCCATGTTATGACAAATTTAGGGCATTATAATAAATAAATAAATAAAGAATCCTTTTTTATTCTATAAGATTATAACTATGTGAAAATACTTTGTATAATGTTATAGTTTTAGTAGGTTGATAGTATATTTTTGAAAAGAGAAAATTTGAAAGAAAAAAAAACACACATTAAAGAATGTGTGAGAAAATGGAAGCAACAGGAATAACAGCGGTATGTTGAAAAGATGTCTGATCTCCTACATCTCACGCAAACTTTAGTAAAAGGTAAAAACTCTCTTCCTTTACGACTCTCACCTCAGAGGGAGACGTCCCCGGCCCTCCACTTGAAAAATAAAGAAAAGCCCAGCTCACTTTCACTACTCCACCATTTCCACCTCTCTTTCTCTTTCTCATTTCGCTTCCTTTCCTTTCCTTTCCTTTCCTTTCGTTTCAATTCAATTCAACTCAAGAAATCAGAATCTCACGTGAAACTTCCCTCGCAATTTTCCTCCAAATTTCTCGTGATTTCAGCTGAAATCGCAACCAAAATTCAACTAATTTGAAGCTACACATGGTTACACGAGAAAGTGACTAGAAATGGTGGAGGTGTTGAAGTGAGTGAGAGAGAGACAGAGAGAAAAAAAAAAAAGAGGAAAGAAGAACGAGTGCGATGAAGCGAAAATTGGTGCAGCAAAAATCGAAAATTAGATGGAAGAGGAAGGTTTTGGCGGCGCTTTTAGTGTCGTTCTGCCTCGCGAGTTTAGCGTTGATGGAGACGCAGTACTCTCGAATCGTCTCGCTGGCTTCCTTACGACACCGTTTCGCCGTCAAGCCGAAGATCGCCTTCCTTTTCATCGCGCGGAATCGGCTTCCTCTTGATATGGTTTGGGATGCTTTTTTCAAGGTACTTAAATTCATATAATTAATAATCAGTTCCTTCTCTTTTATTTTTTTATTAATTATTCATAAATTTAATTACTCCTACTTAATATGGATGTTCTTTAACCTGCTTTACGGTGTTTCCAAGTTTAGCATATATGGATAAAGTTTGTGTTCTTTGTTTCGTTTTGTTTTTGTGCATTTATTAATTACTTAATTAGATAAATATATTACAGATTTGAAAATGGAGAAACTATTACGCCTCTTTCGAATTATGATCTTAATCATCATAATCATCAAGTGTTAATACTTTTTCTTATAAGTTTTTTTTTTTGAAATTTTTGTTTATTTGTTTTAAATATTTATTTTGCAGGGAGAAGAGAACAGATTTTCAATTTATGTTCACTCTAGGCCTGGCTTTTTGTTCAACAAGGCAACAACAAGATCCACTTATTTTTTGAATCGACAAGTTAATGATAGTATACAGGTTAAATTTCTACCATGGAATCTTATTTTAAAACTATAATCTCTTTAGAAATTTGAACATGTTTTGATTGTCAAAGCTGATTCATGCTTCATTTTGGTGTTTATTTGTGATGTAAATGTTAAAATAAACTGATAGTGATCGAGTGTGCTTATTTTATTTGTTGTTATGGCAATTGTACATGACATATCAAATCATGATTTACGAGTGGTACAATTGACATGTTGAGAAAGGATTATGCAATAAAATTTCCTTGTAAATCACTGTATGAGACCTCAAACTCTTTGGAAACACTACAGGCTGTCACCAAAGCCACAAACAAACCGTCGTGGTGCCGCCTTAAGGTCACTGTTGTTACACGGACTTGTGTGTGTACCTGCATGTGCACACATATTTGCCGTGAAAGGAAGATAACTATACCATTTGCCATATGAAATTATCAACTTGTTTACTATCCTTGATTACTTGGAGTTGTTTTCCAATTGCCAATGAATCTCAACCTTTAGGCTTTTAAGACTTAAGGTTAGTTAAGCCTGAAGATCTGAGGATAGAATATTTCATAATAAAAAAAAACGTCGGGAGGAAAAAGTAGAATCATTTTACATGTTAACATTAAGATGGGGTTGTCATACTGACAAGTTTGTTGGCGTATGTTGTGTATATATCTGAAATTATTATAAAGCCATTTGTTTGAAATAAATTTATGCATCCAATCATAATCGGTAGCCTAATGCTTATGAAAAACTGATGATAGAATGTGACCTCTAAATTACTGTTATTGTTGATATGAAAAGATTTAGTCCATGAGTTCTATTTCAGGTAGATTGGGGAGAAGCAAGCATGATTGAGGCTGAGCGTGTATTGCTTAGACATGCATTGACAAATCCTTTCAATGAACGCTTTGTTTTTGTCTCAGATAGGTGAGGATTGATTTGTATGATTATTATCCAGTTAAAGTGTTTCTTTGTTTTTTTGTAATTATTTTCAGTTTTGAAGTTAAGAGGACACTACTTTTTTGAAACTTTGTTATCTAACAATACTTCAGTTACTTGATTTTTTCTCAGCTGTATACCGCTTTACAACTTCAGTTACACGTATGACTATATAATGTCAACATCAACTAGTTTTGTTGACAGGTTAGTAGGCCTTGGAATTTTATTTTTGTATATGATTTTCTTGTTTATCCATTTGTTATACAAATTGGTAACTAAATTTTGGAGTCCTCAAATGGTTCTTGAAAGAGCTTAGTTTTGTGTCTCCCATAGAGAGAAATGATGATTAGCTATTAATTTTTGGCTGCATGTTTATTTCTTACGTATATTTGCCCTGCATATTTGAAAGCTGTTGTGTATTGCATTCTGATGCTTTCTCAACAAGTAATAAAATTTGAGACCATATTCTTGATCAAGAAAGTAAATCTTCTTATGTCATTCCACCTATAATATGTATTTTCTGACCCCAAATAGTTTTCTTGATGAAGACCTTGCGTGGGGAATAGATACTAAACTGAAAATGAGTTTGAATCCTTAAGTCTGACCAGCTTTTAAATGCCAGTATTATTGTCCAACAGTTCTTCTGTTTCCTGTTAACATAAACTGAAATCAACCGGTTAATAACTTTTATATAAACTTCTATGCTGCCTTCATAGTTCTTGTAGTATTTTGCCATACGCCAACCTTTAGCTTAAATTGATTTTAGGATTGTCTTTCTCTGAATGTTCAAATGGTTTGTGAGCAGCTTTGCTGATACGAAAGAGGGTCGCTACAACCCAAAAATGGATCCTATTATTCCTGTTTACAACTGGAGGAAAGGTTCTCAGGTAACAGTTAGAGTTATGTGATTAACATCTTCCTGATGTTTCAATCTATATTAAAGGAAAATGTAAAATAATATGAATAGTTTGAATGTTAGCTGCAAGAATTTTGTGGTGGATTGACTATATTCATCTTATGATTTGCTCATCCTGCAGTGGGCTGTGCTAACAAGAAAGCATGCAGAGGTTGTTATAAATGACACTACAGTCTTTCCCATGTTTCAAGAACACTGCAAGGCAAGTTGTCATGTGTTTATGGATGCTGGCCTTTTTATAATTTTTAAGAAGCTCGTGGTCTTTGTAGCCACAAAATGATTTCAAGCTAACATTAGTGCTTACACAATGAATATTACAAAATGGATGGTTATATTGACTCCATTGGAAACTTAGCATAGTAAATCATTTTTCCTTTTCTGAAATATACTTGGGCCAATGTTTTCACAATGTAATCAAGCTAATTATTTTCTGAGAAGTTTTCTCAGTTGTTAAGGATCTGCTATTTTCTCATACTTTACCTGATCAATATTATGCAGAGGAGATCATTGCCAGAGTTTTGGCGAGATCACCCCTTCGTAAGTATGATTATAGCATATTGCTATATATCTTCATTACTATTTCAAGTGCAATTTGAAAAAAGTTTCTTGATACTTCTAAGAGGTTTAATAGTTGTAATTTTTATCATGTGCAGCCAGCTGATCCAGCGAAGGAGCATAATTGTATACCAGATGAACATTATGTTCAGACATTACTTGCTGTAAGAATTTATTTGAACCCCTCCCCTCACCCCCTCTATCTCAAAGTTTGCAATTGCTGGTTCTACTGTGCATGAAACTTTGCAGCTGATTTCTTTTAGAACAAATCAATATGTTGTTCAAAAAACTGCATATGTAAACTATATTTTGGTTCTCATATATAGAAGCAGCCTCTAAAAGAAAGTTAAATTTTGCCAATTTCCATCCTTTTTGGTGCAGCAAGTATTTCAATTTTCAAGTTTGTACATGAAACTTCTTGAAAGGCATTGAATTAAAGTGTTAACGATACTGCTTTTGTTATTCCTTCTTTTTGTAAAATTATTTATCTCTTTGTAATACCCTTCTCTTTCCAAACATTCAGCAAGAAGGCTTCGAAGGAGAACTCACACGGAGATCATTAACCTATTCTGCATGGGATCTGTCAGCATCCAAAGATCGTGAACGACGTGGATGGCATCCAGTGACTTATAAGTTTTCTGATGCCACTCCTGAGCTTATTAAATCTATAAAGGTAGCTTTGCCATTCCATTGATATCCACTTCTCGACATTCCTTTCGAACCTAAAACCGCACACAAAATGATATTTAGTAGACATTTAATCCTTGCAATTTGAATTCAACATATGCATTGGAGACTAATTTGAAGAAAAGCTAATCAATTTTATTAAAATTGAAGTGTAAATTATTGTATTCCATAAAGTGATGGAGGCACAAAGTAAAAGAAATTTAATGACTCATGCAGGATATTGACAATATCCATTATGAGACTGAAAACCGAAGAGAATGGTGTAGCAGCGAGGGGAAGCCATCCCCGTGCTTCCTTTTTGCGAGAAAGTTCACCAGGCCCGCTGCTCTTCACCTTCTTAATCAGGTAAGTTTCAATTTTACACAAGTATCATCGATGTTGAAAGATGCTAAAAAAAACCAAGCATTTCTAGGGGCAGCCATATCTTGATATCTTTCCCATGGATGCCCATTCTGCGTTTTTGCATGCCTCTTAGAAGTAGCATTCGCTTATATGGTTCCTATTTTTCTGTTGGACAGTCAGTCCTGGGAGCTCGCCGTGGACCAAAAAATGAACCGTAACCATGCAAGGTACTTTCTATAGTAAATCTAAGGTTAGGTAGCATTTGTTAGTCTTAACATGTTGTATTTGTGATTAAAAAATAATAATAATGGAGAGAGCTGTAAATTAGAGGGGGAAATGAAATCAAAAGGGAGTTGTTGTATAATAAAAACATAAATTTTTTTAGAAAAAAAATACAGATAAGAAAACCAAAAAATATCATCGTATTATAGTTGCTTTATTATTTACTATTAGGACGGCCCTAGTTATTCTCTAAATTTGAGAATTACCATTCTTTAAACGAGAAGAATTTTTTAAGGCTACAATATTGTAGAGGTCGGTTATGGGGATGGAGGCTTTACCATCAGCCCATCAGAAAACTCGAATTATTGGGTCACAGAGTGAGGGGAAGGTTAAGTTTGGGATTAGTATCGAGGATTCCCAATCTTAACAACTTTGTTACACAATCTGCTGCGGCCCATCAATTGGAGGAGAATTTTAATTTTGTAATTAGCTAATATTAAAGATGTACGATTATTTTACTAGGATCCAAGCATGCATGACATGTGAACTAACAAATTATTAGAACTCTATAAACGGTCGATTTGGTCCGAAAAGGTTGAAAATCGAGGGAATATCTGAATAAATCAAAAATCAATCAAATACGGTTGGTTTGATCGATGCCCCGTCAAAATTGAAATTTTAATAACATTTTAAAATTTTATAAAATTAAAACATCTAGATTCTATCATATATATAAATAAAATTTAACATTTAACATGGTACGAATAATATCTAATTAACACTTAACATCTAACACTGTATAATCCATACCAACTTAAAACAAAATGAATTTAAGTGAACACTCAAGGAACGTTCTCAAAGAAAGAGAAAGACATATGATTGAGTTAATTATTATTAAAAATAAGTATTCGATGGATTAGATTAAAAGTTTTAAATATTAAAAATCAATCAAATAAATAAAACTAACAAAATTTTAATTATCAAATTGACCGTTGATAGAATTGATCGAGCTCAATTAACTTCAATTGATTTATTCAGATGGAACCCATTTTGCTCAACCCTGAATTGTAACAATTTATACCGAAATCTCTCAACATTCAGAAAATGTTAGAAGGTGAAGAGGAACTCAAAAAGTCGAACCTGAATTTAACATGTAATAAGTTAAATGGTGGGGAGTTGGAAGTGTCGCGGGTCTGATATTAGTGATGTAATGAGTGTGGTTCCCATGAATTGCTCCTCTAGGGCGGTGAACAGTTAAAAATAGCTTCGAGAAAATAATTATATATTCTTGATTTACTCATTTAACAGACACAAACCCCTTATTCAATAAGATTGGACGCGTATAGCGCAAAACATCAACACGTCACTTGATTTTATTAATTTTAAAGATTTAAAGACCAATCGTCTTTCCTGGATTCACCGGCACCCAGCAGAAACAATCTTATCCTTTGTAATTAAAGGCTCTCATGAATTGCACTCCGCCATGTGCTTCCCCCCTACCCGACCTGAAAAGAAGAAGAAGCACATGGCATTCGGCCCCCATGCCCATGTCCCTACAAGGCAACCTTTGACCATGGTGCTCATTCCACTTCTTAAAGCTAACTTGTCATAAAATTATCAATTAAATTTTGATTTTAATCTATTTTTTTAAAGCTTATTCACATCATAAAAGAATTAATTTTTCAAATCACATAAATTCTTATAAATACTATAAAAGTTTCGTAATTTAAATAATTTTATCTTCACCAATTGCACACAATATACACTGTGATGTTTTTATAATGATAGATAGTTTTTTGATATAATATTTTTAAAAGTTTATAAATTATTTTTAAAAAATTAAATAAAAATGTATTTGATCAATTTTTTTATTTTAAATTAAAAAAGTTTTATAACAATTTATCTTTAGTTAAAATGTTACTTGTTATTTTTTATATCATATAGATAAGAAAACATCATTTGATCTTGTAATCATAATATATCAACATCTCAAATTAACACTATTCGCATAAAATAATAACTAACGTTTTGACCATTAATGATTAATTAAATATTAATAATAAGAATTTATTTGATTTAAAATAAAAATATAAAAATTTAATTAAATATAATAAAAAATAAAAATATATTTAAAATTTTTTAAATAATTTAAAATATTTTTAAAATATTATACTTAATTTTTGTAATGTTTTAACAATAGGTAGAACTTTCGTTAGAATCAATTGGAACCTTATCTCTTGGATCTTTTTCTATAAATTATATTCACTAAAGAATTCTAATCCAGGAGGTAGTTAGCAGCATTCGCTTTTAGCAAAGGAAAGAGGTTTAGGTAACGGTAGTAATGACCTGCTGATCCAAAATGTCTGTGCCAACACCTTATTGGGCCTTTGGAAAAGTGAATTACTGAATACCGCAGAATTGATTGCCCACCATTTTTAGCGTGTTCCAAGCGCACCCAAGCCAACGGTGACGTACTCACCGACCGCGCATTGTCTAATTAAGGGTAGGTTTCCTAACATCAAGCAAATACTAATTACTCCCCTTTTTTTAACAAAAGGAAAAAAAATAATTATTATTTATTTCCTTAACTCGATATGTTGTAACAAACCTTGGAATTTGGCTTCATTAGTCAAAACAAGCATCAAGCATGCAAATACTGTTTATTAGTTGGATTAATTTTTTATTTATTTTTTGCTGATTTTTCAATTCTTAATTCAAAACCATGGGTTTAAAGCTTTTAACAAAAATAACAGGTCAAGACACTTTAACTTTAAGCTATCTATTCAATTTCAAAATATTATCTAGAAAAGCATATTGCACTAAAACAAAAGATAACAAAATTGATAATTTTATATAGGACATGATAATACAATATAAATAATTATATTTCGTGTATTAATGTGGTTAAGATAAAAATAATTTATATTTTAATTATATCAAAATTACTTATTTTTTTAAGATTTATTTAAATATGAATAATTAGTCATATTAAAAAAACATAACAAACAAAAATTAATTGATAAATTATTTTCTTGACCCCCCAAAAAAAAAAGAACTCACATGCCATTGTCATAACTTTGTCAAAATTAAGAGAATAATCCGTTTTCTAGATAATCAAAATTTCCTCCAAGCACCGTTGGGACCTGGGGGGACTTGTAAGAAATTGGCGTTTCTTCCATGCTTGTGCTGGACCCACTAGCGCGTTCTCCACCACTCCATTATCCTATCATTGGGTACCACGTGGGCTGTATAACTGACACGTTAACGTAGTTCGTACGTTGAAGGATACTATTGGCTACACTGGTCGCTGAACAATTTGGTCGTTGGAGCTACCTGTCAAGTTTCTGATTGAACCGTTTCCAACCTCCGAGTACGACGATGCGGGTCTCCAACACAGATTTCTTGCCTCAGAAGTATTCCAAGTGGCGCACTCCTGAGCTTCCACGTAACCTTATCTGTTCTTAATAAAATTCGGGCTGTCGGTGGAGGATTTTATTTCTTTTACTGCCATGCTTACACGTGGCAAATGTCGGATCCAGTTGGTACAATTACCTTTTGCTAATGATAACATATTTACTGAGATTTTTTATTTGAAATTTAATGTAATTTTAATTTAAGAAATAATTTTTTTTTGTTTTATTATACCTTCGAAGAAGGCCGTGGAAAAGGAAAAAGAAAAAGTGCAGAGCACAACTTGGCAAAGGGTTAGAGGCAGAAATTAAAGAAGGCCCACAATCCTTGCAGGCCCACTAAGGGCCCACACGACTTTGAATCAGAACAATGTTCCTTTAATATTCCATCTCCACACCTAAATTTTCGAGTCCATTTATTTAACAAAATAATAATAATAATAATAATACAAGTGGATTTAAGAGTTTTAAAGGTCATTCAACAATTTTTTTAATAATAAATTAACTCTTAACCATTTACTTATTATTTTTTATCCTCACATCATGTAAATCTAAGATTTTCATTAACATCATAAAAACGATTTAGTCATGACGTAATTATAAATGTTATACCAGCAATTATTTGTAAGAATACTTTTCTTTCAAAACTTAATTTATTTTCAAAAAAGAAAATTTTGAATTTTTTAATTGAATCGAACAATATATAGTCACTTCTCCGATCACCTTTCTTACACGGAAAAATTATATCACCATTAAAAAGAAGTAGTAGTTGTCATTTTTGTCACACATACAATATTCTTGAATTTTGTACAAAAAAGGGGGGAAATTAACTTTATTCCTTATTCTTTGTTACATGTTTTGTTCTCTCTGGTTCCTTTGCTGTGATGGAACCAAACATTTTCACTACATTGAATGTCAAATTCTCATTGGTTTTGTTCTTGTCTTTTTTTTTTTTAATTTTTTCATTTTATGTTGGACATGCTTTGGGTTTGAAAGGGAGGTGATGAATACATATGGAGTTCTAATTTGTTGGGGAATGTTAAAGGAGAAAATAAAGGTGTTAGCTTCAAAGAGAGTACAAAGAATCTATTGGAAGAGACAAGAGGTTCACAATTTTTCTAAAAGAAATGATAGAAAAAAGAGAAGCCCAATCTTACAGTTCTTTGGTATATTCTGAATTCATCACCAGAATTAAGAACTTGAAAATAAATAAATTAACATAACTTAAAAAAAGAAGCAAAGAAATAAAAAATGCAATGGACCTATTTAGATTTCGATCGAATTTTAACTTTTTTTAATTACAAAAGAAGAATTCGAATATCAACCTAATATTTATGTGCAAATTTTAATTATTTTTATATAATTTAACATCTGGTGTCTGATTAATTTAATAATCTCAATTAATATAACTTTTTGGATTGTAGATGAACTTTCATTAAATATATTTAAATGTTCTTTAATTTCTCTTTATAAAGGTAAGCTTAACTGACTTTGACCTACACTAATTACACCCAATTAAATGCTCTTTCTATGGTTTATAGAATCGATTTTCTTTCCTTTAGCAATTATCCTATGGAATTAATGAGGCAAAGTCCAAGATTTTCCTAAGAAAATTAAAATTTTTAATGATTTTGGAGAAGTATCAGGAAAAAGGAACAAGTTTCCTTTACAGAAAAGCTAAGGAATTTCTTTTTGGAGGAAGACCCTAGAAGCTTGTACTAATTGAAATTAAACTCCCCTTTGAAAGGGCACATACAACATAGGTTTATCCTTTGGGGAAATCATAATTGTAAGACTGATTCCCTACCCATGTCTCCATCCTTCATTTATAATGAAAATTCATCAATTTGGTTTCATAAAATTTAGGTAGTGTTTGGTATTTTACGATGTAATATAATTATAAGTAATGTAATTGTAAAGAAAATAACATTATAATGTTTGATATATAAACAAAATAATGATTAAACCAAAGAAAAGTAAGAATTTTGTATATCAAAATTGATAATTCATCGGACAATTGATTTGTTGTTATTAAAGGACTATGGAATATATATGAAATATTTAGCAAATATCTGGTCTATATATAATATCAGTCAACTATGATATTAGCTAAAGAAAATATTATTCCTCCCATTATTTTTATTTCAAAACTGTTATCTCATTTGATATGGTAATAATTTTTCCTTGTAATATTTTATTTATGAATTAGTTGATTTATTATGAATTTATAGATCTCACTTATTTAAATAATTGCATGTTATGTTAGAGAATACAAATAATTGAAACAAAAGTGAAGGGACAAGTAACATGACTCATTTATTAAATCTGCAAAATTTATTTTTTATGCAAAATTGTAATTAAATTTTTAATATGTCAAAATAATATTCTATATTGTACCTAACTCAAAAATTCCATACATGCTTCTGTTTACTTTTTGAAAAATAATTTTTGGTTTCCAAAAAATTAATTATCATTTTAATATAGTTTGTTATATTTTCTCATCCAAAACGTTTATAATGTAAATAGTATTATAATTTTAAATTTCTAGAAATTGGTTTAACTATTGATGAATATAATGTTGTTCATTGAATAAGTTAACTATACCTTATATAAGTTAGTTTATCTATTGTTATTTTTGTATGATATCGAAATATTATTAATCTTTAACTATTATATATCGTTATTCTAATATTTTAAATAAAATGATAATAACCCAACTATTAATGTTTATTTCTTCAAATATTGCTTTTACCATATATGATATACCCCAAGGCTTTTTTTTTTCTTTATTTTCTTTTGGAGTGGCAAAGAAATAATACTAGATAAAAGTCTAGGGAAATATATCCGCGAATATCCAACCTAATTATATATAGAGAGTCAACTAAGATTGCGACTAATTTAATGGGGTTGAAGATTGTTTTTTTAATGAAAAATAAAACATTGTTGATAATATGTGTCCCCATTTCCAACTAGTCATACCAAGATCTAGCCTATAGGGAGTCATAACTTTACATTTGTCCAATTTTTGACTCTCTCAAATCTTGCACATGACAGATGACTCTATTTAACAAACCAATTTCCATGGAAAAGAGATTTTTGGATAATCTTTTGCTTTGTATGCTATGACCCACTAGATTAAATGAAAGACAAATTCCAAACCCTTACCTTTTTCTAATATTTGTTTTTTTATTGCCTTTTTCAGCCAAGGAAACCCCCACCTCATCTTCCCTTCCTGGGTTGGGGGAGGTGGGGAGCTAAGCCTATATATTTGGACACTTGCCATCTTCTTTGAGCAACAAATTAGCAAGCAAAGTTAAAGCTCTCATTAAAGCACAGAATCAAAGCAAACTGATTTACTGATTCTATCTCAATTCTTTCCTCTATAAAAACAACCCTTCATTCTTCTCTTTCTGTACTCTTCTTTTCTCTTAGCAAAGCAGGAACCTGTTGTTTTTGATTTTTTATTATTATGGCTCCAAGCTTGGGCAAGGCTAGCTCTGGTGTTTCAGGCCTTGTTGATAGCCATCACCAGTGTCCATTCGGCCTGGAAGGCTCAAACTTCATTGCCAATGGCCATGTTTTTCTCTCTGATGTCCCTGATAACATCACTGTAACTCCTTCCCACTATGGATCCTTCTCCACCGACAAATCAATATCCACCGTGGGATCCTTTGTAGGATTTGACGCCGTTGAATCCGCCAGCCGCCATGTTCTTCCCATCGGCAAGCTCAAGAACATCAAGTTCATGAGCATTTTCAGGTTCAAGGTCTGGTGGACTACTCATTGGGTCGGTTCCAATGGGGGAGACCTTGAAAACGAAACTCAGATGGTTATTCTTGATAAATCAGACTCTGGCAGGCCCTACGTTCTCCTCCTTCCTCTCCTCGAAGGTCCTTTCAGGGCCTCCCTTCAGCCTGGAACCGACGACAACGTTGACATCTGCGTCGAAAGTGGGTCCACCAAGGTCACATCCGCCGGATTCCGGAGTGTTCTTTACGTGCATGCCGGTGAAGATCCCTTCAACTTGGTCAAAGAAGCCATGAAAGTGATCAGGGTTCATCTGGGAACCTTCAAGCTTTTAGAAGAAAAAACCCCACCAGGCATCGTGGACAAATTTGGGTGGTGCACGTGGGATGCATTTTATCTTACCGTGCACCCTCAAGGCGTTTGGGAAGGCGTCAAGGGTCTCGTTGATGGTGGGTGCCCACCTGGGCTCGTGTTGATCGACGATGGGTGGCAATCCATCAGTCATGATGAGGACCCAATCACCAAAGAAGGCATGAATTGCGCTGTGGCTGGTGAGCAAATGCCGTGCAGGTTACTGAAGTTCCAAGAGAACTACAAGTTCAGGGACTACGTAAGTCCTAACACGTCGGGCACTGGTGCACCTAATAAGGGCATGGGTGCCTTTATCAAGGACCTTAAGGAGGAATTCAACACTGTAGACTTTGTTTACGTCTGGCATGCCCTCTGCGGATATTGGGGTGGTTTAAGGCCTAACGTCCCCGGATTACCGGAAACCAAGGTGATACAACCGGAATTGTCCCCTGGATTGAAGAAAACAATGGAGGATCTCGCCGTTGATAAGATCGTCAGCACTGGTGTAGGGTTGGTGCCGCCGGAGATCGCTGATCAACTTTATGAAGGAATTCATTCTCACCTTGAAAAGGTTGGAATTGATGGAGTCAAGGTGGACGTTATCCACGTAAGTTAATAATCCTAAATTCTTTTTTAATTATTTTTTCATTTTAAAGTCCATTTAATTTTTAAAATTTTATGACAATAAAAAATGCCAAGTGTTCCGTGACAGGACCAAATCTCAGTCTTTTACTGTTACTTTGACTGGCTTTAAAATAAAGACAAAAAGTTCTGTTGGTTCTGTTACAGTTTGGTCGGCACGAAACTGCTGAGTGTGCGTCTATTTTTTAGTTTCACACGTTATGTTCCTGTTGTTCCTCAACAAGTCTTGGTCATCCTCATAAATAAATTCTGACCATTGAATAATCTGATTTAAGCCCAGACTAATCTTTTAATTAATATTATGATTTCCAACAGCTGCTGGAGATGTTGTGTGAGAACTATGGTGGAAGAGTCGAGCTTGCAAAGGCTTATTACAGGGCCCTAACAGACTCTGTGAGGAAGCATTTCAAAGGCAATGGTGTTATTGCTAGTATGGAACACTGCAACGATTTCATGTTCCTAGGAACAGAAACCATCTGCCTTGGTCGTGTCGGTAAGTAATTGCTTTTTGTATTGGAAGAATACTTTTGCATGATGATAAGTATTGTAGCTTGGGCCTAACTGATTGTATGTATGTATGTATGTTTCTTTGTAGGTGATGATTTTTGGTGCACTGATCCATCTGGTGACCCCAACGGCACATTCTGGCTCCAAGGCTGTCACATGGTGCACTGTGCCTACAACAGTTTATGGATGGGCAACTTTATCCACCCTGATTGGGACATGTTCCAGTCTACTCACCCTTGTGCTGAGTTCCATGCTGCCTCCAGGGCAATTTCCGGTGGCCCAATTTATGTTAGTGACACTGTTGGGAAGCACAACTTCCCCTTGCTCAAGCGACTAGTGTTGCCAGACGGGTCCATCCTCCGGTGCGAGTACTATGCACTACCAACCAGGGATTGCCTCTTTGAGGACCCTCTCCATGATGGCAAGACCATGCTCAAAATCTGGAACTTGAACAAGGTTAGTTTGTCATGTTGGATTATATGTATTATTATTTCCCGAATCATATTGTTTTGCTTTCATCAGAGTGATTGACAATTTAGTCCTGGATGTAACAGTACACCGGTGTGATTGGGGCATTCAACTGTCAAGGAGGTGGATGGTGCCGTGAAACCAGACGCAACCAATGTGCCTCTCAGTTTTCCAACACGGTCACTGCCAAGACCAATCCCAAGGATATTGAGTGGAAGAGTGGCAAGAATCCGATTTCCATTGCAGCTGTACAAGTTTTTGCTCTGTACTTGTCTCAGTCCAAGAAGCTGGTCCTCTCCAAACCAGCTGAAAGCATTGAAATTTCCCTGGAGCCATTCAATTTCGAGCTGATAACTGTTTCTCCAGTTGCTGTCTTGGCTGGAAAATCAGTCCACTTTGCTCCTATTGGGCTCGTCAACATGCTCAACGCTGGTGGTGCCATCCAGTCATTAGCCTACGATGAATTCGAGAGCTCAGTGGAAATCGGAGTGAAGGGAGCTGGTGAAATGAGAGTCTTTGCATCAGACAAACCAAGAGCGTGCAAGATTGATGGAAAAGATGTTGGTTTTGAGTATGAAGGACACATGGTCATTGTTCAAGTTCCATGGTCTAGTCCTTCAGGTTTATCTACAATAGAGTATTTGTTCTAATTTTTAAGCTAGGTCTATCACAAGAAAGTCTCTGAGTTCTTGACATTACAAGAAGCTTAATGGCTTATTTCCAACCAAAATCACTGGAAACGTAACTATGTGAATTTAAGTTAATGAAGTTAATTACTAGTACTTCTCTCTACTTTTATGTTCTTCAGCAAATCATTACTCTGCACAGCCTGCACAACAATTGAAAGGATAAACAAAAATTTCTGATCCAGGGAGAAATTAAAAGAACTGAAACTGAACATATTGCTAACCTGATTAGTGACCTGAGATATGGTCCTTTGTGATACAAGCAGTAAAGGAAAGGATACTGAACATTTTGCTAGACTGATTAGCTTCCTGACAGAAGGGTCTGGTTTCTACCAGCAATCTTTTAGACATTTCCAGTGTCTGTAAGGCCACTGTTTTGAAGAATTGCAATGGACAACAGAGAAGTTCATGACCCAAACCAGCAATCTTTTTCCTTTTCTTCCACAGAAAATATGGGCCTTGAACTCAGGAATCGGATACTTACTATAGTATGGGAACTGTCATCAAGCCACAACACAAGTTCAGTGGAGATGCTTTGTTCCTTAAGGCCTTGAGGAAGCTTTGCCCACAAAATTCTACTTGGACTGGAGCAGAATAGTGTAGTTCCATAACTGCAGATTCTTACATGGGCCTAAAAGTAGATTCAAAGTTGCCCAAGCTCCAGCAGTTGTTTACCAAGTTTATCAATGGAATTTCCTCTTCTTTTGGGCTGACATATCTGTGCTTACTACTTATTTATTTATTGCAATTATTTAGATTCTGAAATTAAAAAAAGAAGCTCAACCATGTACAGAAGATATTAATTAAAACAACAGGAATACTTGAACAACTGTTTTTTATTATTATTATAATTATATTAATTATAAATAAAAAGAATTTACTTTCCAAAAAAAAAAAAAAGAATTTCGAGAAAGGAATACTTAGAACAAGTTTTGGAGATATGGAAAGCCATTTGATCAATAATTGTTTTTTTAATAAATATGTCACACAGGAATAATGATTTTCCATAATTAGAAAGCGAAAAAACATTTGAATATTAATCAAGAAATATGTGTACAAGCACTAAACTCATTAAAACCGAGGCTGAGTTGCAGGGGCTGTGCTGGTCTGGTCTGGTCTGGGTGTTAATCTAGTTGGAAAAACCAATTGGAGTTGTCGTGTTGGAAAGAGACGAAGAATCCATCATCTCTTCCGGAGCAAAGATAATGATAATGCTGTTAAATTCAATCAAACATGCAGCAAAATCCAGTCCAATTCTCCTGCTGAAAAATGGTAATCGTAATCGTGATTCTTACTCTTACTCTTGCTTGATCCTCTCCCCATCTCGCTCTCCCAACAACTCCTCACCACCCAATCATCTCAACCTGAGCGCCGCCGACGTGGTAGCATCCTTCAAGGACTGGTTCAAGGCCCGGAACACAGCTCTCCTCGACCGCATCTTCACCATCCTAAACTCCCAAGGCCAAGCCGCATTGGACGATGCATCGTCCTGGCGTGCCGCTGACCTTGCTCTGTCCCACCTCAACCTCCGTCTCTCCGAGACCTTTGTCCTCCAGGTCCTCTCCTACGGCCGCTCCTCCTCGCAAGATGTTCTCTCCTGCCTCAAGTTCTTCGACTGGGCGGGCCGCCAGCCTGGGTTTCACCACACCCGAGCCACCTTCCATTCCATCTTCAAGATTCTGGCGAAAGCGAAGCTCATGTCTTTGACGCTTGAGTTCTTGCAGGAGTATATGGCCCATAGGTACATTCACAAGGTCAGGTTCCACGACACTTTGGTCATGGGTTATGCCATTGCAGGGAAACCAGAGATGGCACTCCAGCTGTTCGGCAGAATGCGGTTCCAGGGTCTTGACTTGGATGACTTCGCCTACCACGTGCTTTTGAATGCTCTTGTAGAGGAGAGTTGCTTTGACGCCGTTGACATGATTGCTAAGCAGATTTCTATGAGGGGTTTGGAGAATGACATGACCCACTCCATCATGCTCAAATTCTGGTGCAAGCAGAATAAGTTGGATGAGGCGGAGGCCTACTTGCGCCGCTTGGTGGAGGGTGGGAACCACGTTGTTGGGCATGGCCTCAGTGTGATTGTGGATGCGCTTTGCAAGTGTAAGAAGTTCAAGCATGCCTTCACCTTGCTGGAGGAGTTTAGGGAGCTGAATGTGCCAATGGAGCAAGCTTATGGGATGTGGCTTAGAAATCTTGTGCAATATGGGAGGTTAAATGGGGCTTTGGAGTTTCTCAAGGGCAAGAAATCATTAGACGGATATGTTCCCGACGTGTTTCGATACAATTTTTTGGTGTTAAGACTATTAAGGGAGAACCGCCTCGAGGATGTTTGTGATTTGTTAATTGAAATGGAGGAAGATGGTATTTCGCCTGATAAGATCACCATGAATGCTGTTTTATGTTTCCTTTGTAAGGCTGGGATGGTGGATGTTGCCATTGAGTTGTATAACTCCAGGTCAGAATTTGGACTCTCTCTTAATGGCATGGCTTATAACTATTTGATCAATGTCTTATGTGGAAATGGGGGTATTGATGAAGCTTACCATGTGTTAAGAAATTCAATTGATGAAGGTTATTTCCCTGGTAAAAAGACCTTCGCTATTCTTGCGGATGCCTTGTGCAGGGAGGGAAAACTTGACAAGATGAAGGAGCTGGTGGTTTTTGCCCTAGAGCGAAATGTTATGCCCAGCAATTCTCTATATGACAAGTTTATTGAAGCTCTGTGTAAAGCAAAGAGGGTTGAAGATGGATATTTAATACATGGTGAACTAAGTAGAATAAACAAAGATATGGCAAGGAGTACTTACTTTCACTTGATTCAGGGTTTTAACAAGTCAAATAGGGGAGATATTGCTGCAAGATTACTACTTGAAATGCAGGAGAAGGGCCATAGAGTAACTAGAAAATCGATTAGAACTGTTATCTGTTGCCTGTGTGATATGCAAAGTCCCGAAAACCAGTTCTTCAAATTGCTGGAAATCCAATTGTCTCGTTTTGAACCTAGCTCTCATATTTATGACTTCTTCATTGATGGAGCTGGTCATGCCAAAAAGCCTGAATTAGCTAGAGAAGTATTTGAGATGATGTTGAGAAGTGGGATTAAGCCCACTCTGAGTTCTGACATTCTTATGTTGCATAGTTACCTAAAGAATGATAGAATTTCTGATGCTCTAAATTTCTTTAATGATGTACGCCAGAGAAGAAGCATAGGCAGAAGACTATATAGTACCATGGTTGTTGGTCTTTGCAAAGCCAACAGGGCAGATTATGCATTGAAATTCATGGAAGAAATGAGGGCTAATAATGTATTTCCAAGTATGGAATGTTATGAGTATCTTATACAGCTGCTGTGCGCAAAGAAATGCTATGATTTGGTTGTAGGGCTTGTTAATGAGTTGGAGAAAACTAGGGGTCATATTACATCTTTTATTGGTAATGTACTTTTGTTACATTCTTTTAGGACTAAAGATCTGTATAGGGCTTGGATTCAATTGATAGGTGTGCAAGATGAGACGTCAGATGTTTCGTTGCTTGGGCAACTCATTGGAGCATTTTCTGGTTGTATTGAAGTGAGCCAAGAGGTTGAGAGGTTGGAAGAAATGATTGAAGTGTGTTTCCCACTTGACATCTACACATACAATTTGCTATTGAGGAAACTAAGTGTAAGCCATGTGGACCATACTTCGGAGTTGTATGACTGGATATGCCAGAAGGGGTACGAGCCGAATCGGTGGACCTACGACATCATAGTACATAGTCTCCTCAGAAAAGGGAGGAGGGATGAGGCCAGCAGATGGGTGGAGGAGATGTTTAGAAAAGGGTTTGATCTAACGGAGAATACCAAACTGTTAATCTAACAGTTTCTTTTTGGTAAAACTACAATCTAGGTATTCAATAGCAGTTAAAACATTCAGAATGTCTTTGTGAATCTATAGAGAGATGGACATGTTGGAGGCCTGATTTATGTGGAATCAATAGTCATTTCTTTTTTGTATAATGCTGTCTTGGCAATCAATAGTCATTTCTTTTTTATGTAATGCTGCATTGACTATGGGTGAACTTGGTCTTCTGTTTATACCATGAATGTTTTGCCTTCTAATCAAACCAATTGAACTGTATTCTGTTCAAAATGGCCTTCGATTGGAATGCTACAGAGGCTACTTCTCTTTTTCCTTTGAGTGAAGTGATGAATGATCTTTATGAGCCCAAATAGGCCCAGCTCCAACAGAGAGTAGTACAAATGTTTGGATCATGCCGTTGCCATGGGGGCAGAATTAATTCATCCATTAAAAAACCCGAACAAGCTTATTCTTCTCTCCAAATCCATTTCTGGAACCCCAAATTTTCTACTCATCCCATTTCCAACAAAAGCTTTAAAGAAGCAAAAATAAGAAAAAATAAAAAAAAATAGAGAAGCCAAATTCCATCGATGAATACATCTCAGTTCATGGACAAGCAGATAATGGACTTAACATCTTCTTCTTCTTCTTCACCTCCCCAAAATACCAACAAAGATTTCATTGATCTGATGAATCACCCTCAAGACGAAGATAATCACAACCAAGGCTCCGGGATTAGTAACAAGGAAGGTATCTTTCCCAGTTATGATTTCCAGCCGATCCGACCCGTTTCGACGAGCCTTGATGCCGCTGCAGTTAATAATAACCCCAGGTCTTGGAGTTCGGGTGATTCTAAAACCAAGGTAAACCGATTAACCCCCATTCTTTTTGTTGATTAAAATTTGTGGGTTTTTCTGGGCATTTGATTTTTGGGGTTTCTTTTATGTGGTTGTATTTTGATCAGTGAGTTTTGTCGATTTGAACTTCATTTCTTGGTAGTTCTTTAGATTCCTTTTTTCTAGAATTGCTTGGGATATTTGGGATTAGTTTTTCAGGGTTTATTCAATCAATTTAGTTTGATTAGTAATTTTGTGGTTCTTGTGTGGATTTTTGAGATTATATGTGCTTGTGGTCTTTTAATGCATTGCAGTTTGATTAATAAATTTTCTTCTTTTTCTTAATAGTTAAGGTATGAGATTCAGTTGGGTTTCTTCGACTGCATTACTGATTACTGTTTGCTTGAATTTTCTTTGCTCGGGACAGAACTATGGTTCTCTTGACTCCGTTGAACCTACAAAAGTCATTCTAGAAAAGGATCGAAATGCCTTTGACACATCAATAGTGGCTGAGATTGATCGAACCATGAAGAAACACACTGATAATTTGATCCACATGTTAGAAGTTGTTAGTGCGCGACTGACACAGCTGGAGAGTAGGACTCGTAACGTTGAGAATTCTGTGGATGATCTGAAGGTGTCTGTAGGAAACAATCACGGAAGCACTGAGGGAAAAATGAGACAGCTGGAGAATATTTTAAATGAGGTACTTTTCTGAAACAATCTTCTTCCCTGATATTTGTTTTTGCTATGACTGCCTTTGGTATATCAAGGTAAAAATAGATGTACATTGTGTATTTCGTGAGTTCAAGTCCTGTGGCTGTGGTAGATGATTTTAAGAGTTGAATAGAATGTTATTCTTTATGAAGATTGGTATTTTATCCTGCTTATGTTGAATTTGGAGAATTTTATCTCTCTTTGATCGATGTGTTAAGTTGTTAAGTTGTTTCTCGTCAAAGAAATGTATCATTTGATGCCAAACATTGTCAAAAACTTGGAATGATTCTTTATATAGGGAAAGTTTGATCAGTTTAGTTATAGGAACTAAGCAGAACAGGTACTATTAACGAATAGCAGTTAAATTAGTAAACTGCAGTGGAAGCCATGATGTTGAGCTGTATGAATTTGTCACAACATCCAAACACCTTTATTTGTCTCACTATGTTCTTGGTCCCACTAAATTGATATCTGATCCAATTATGTATCTCGCTTTGGCAATGTCTTTATCTGTTAGTAAAGGGAAGACATCATATCTAGTTCCCAAAGCGAACGTAGATTTGTAACCCACCTTCACTAAATCCTAGAATATGAATATTCTTTTTTTTTTTTTGAAAATTAGAATATGAATATTCTAATAGTATTTTATTCAACTGCAAAGATCTTCTATTGACTTATGATTACTTATTAGAGGAAAAAAGTTTTGGCTGATTTATAATGGCACTTAACAAACTTGCAAAGAGGAATAATGTTCTGGCCCCATGTAAAATTAAGCTGGGTACTGAAGGTCCTGATTGTATTTCATAATGGCTCACTTGCAAGAAATATTCATTGATGTGGCATGGTTGGAGGACAGAATTTTGTCATCTATACTGTTAGTAGATGGTAGGTCTAATGCTAACTTATCCATGTTTTCATATTTTGATGATTGGCTTGTGTTTATTTAATGTTTTTGATCAACCACATGCAGGTTCAAACAGGAGTGCATGTTTTAAAAGAAAAGCAAGAGATAATGGAAGCTCAGTTACACCTTGCAAAGCTGCAGGTGACCAAGGGAGATCACCCATCAGAAACTCAGAACACTGTGCATGTGGATACTGTGCAGCAAGCTGCATCTGCTCCTTTCCAATCTCACCAGCAGCTTCCTCCTGCTGCCTCTTTTCCACAGCCACTTCCTTCTGTTCCTCCTCCTCCAACTGTTGCTCCTCTGGCTCTTCCCCAGCAGGCTCTGCCACCTCCAGTCCAGCACCCAAATCAGTTCGCTCAGAGCCAAGTTCCTTCTGTCCCTCAACGAGATGCTTACTATCCACCGCCGGGCCAAACTCAAGAGGCTCCAAGTCAGCAATTCCCAGTACCACCAACTCAGCAGCCACAGCTCCCTCCTGCAGCACCACCTCATCAACCATATCAACCAGTCCCTCCACCGCAGTATTCGCAGCCACCACAATCCGTTCAACTCCAACCTTGCTTAGGCCAGCATCCTGAAGAGGCTCCTTATGTTCCTTCTCAGAGCTATCCACCAAACCTGCGCCAGCCACCCGCTCAACCACCCAGTGGCCCCCCTTCCTCCCAACAGTATTATGGGGCTCCACCTCAAATGCATGAGCCACCATCCGGTAGGCCTGGTTCAGGGTTTTCAGCTGGATATATCCTGCAATCTGGGCAAAGTGAACCGTATGCTTATGGTGGATCACCTTCACAGTATGGCAGTGGCTCCCCAATGAAAATGCAGCAGCTCCCATCTTCTCCTATGGGACAAAGTGGTGGAAGTGGTTACCCACAGCTTCCGACTGCTAGGATTTTACCACATGCATTGCCCACTGCTTCTGGGGCTGGTGGTGGATCAGGTCCTTCTGGACCTGGAAACAGGGTACCCGTTGATGATGTGATTGACAAAGTGACCAGCATGGGATTTCCTAGAGATCATGTTAGAGCAACCGTTAGAAAGTTGACGGAGAATGGCCAGTCTGTTGACCTCAATGTGGTGTTGGATAAGCTAATGAATGATAGTGAAGTCCAGCCACCCAGAGGTTGGTTCGGGCGGTAACCTGGCATCACTGATTCATGCTGATGTAAATTACTATCACTTGATTCTGGTTGAACTTGTCTGGAGCTTAGGGGCTATTTCACCCCACTTGGTTTTTCGTTTCCTCCTTTCCCTCACTTCACTCTTTCTTGCTCTTGTTTCTAAAATTTCAAATTGCTTTCTTGGCTTAACCTTGAGTTGTTTAATTTCTGGTTTGACTGTCCAGCCTTTTTTACATTTGTGTATACTTACAATAATCAGAATTAAATTGTCAAGTTCTCATTTTGTTGATATATTTTATTTTGAACTTTTGTAATGTGATACTGGCAAACGCTTCTGGCAATTTCTTTTGATCTTGCATTTAGAGGTGGCAAACAGGTAGGGTTCATGTTTTGGTCGTCTCATGCTGGTTCATGTTCGGATCGTTTTAGATTCGTATCGTATCAGAGTTCTATGTAGTTTCGACTCATTTTAGATTTTTGTAAGATTTAACCATTTCAACATGATTGTCGGGTCCATGTTGTTTCAGGTTCGAATTATTTTGAATCTGAATCATATTTGGTTTTGAGTTACTTTGAATTCGAATCATTTCAATACGGGTTTTCGGGTTAGAAGAAGAGTGAAGGAGTATACCTGCTGGGTTGTTAGATGTCTTTGAGAATGAATGAAACAATTCCATTGTGTTGACTATTAAGTAACTATTCTTGGATGGCCAAGGGGGATATCAGAAGAGGAATTAGTGAATCAGTTAAGTCTATGACTCACATGAAAATACAGACGTGGAACCTGATTTATAAAGCAAGTGATCAAAAACAAAACGACATCGTTCTTCATTTTTTTAATAATAAAGTCATAAATCAATTGTGACTTGCTCATAATTGGTGATTATTGAACAAAATCAGAGCCCAAATCGATCTACTCTCTCAATCCATACACTATTTCTCTCACATCATTAAATTGAATAAATTACCGTAAGTTAATTTTTTGATAAATACATGTATAATTACGAATTAGATTTACTGAACCGAAAAGATGAAAATTCTAAAGACCTACCAATGAAATTTAAAGTAAACAGATGGGGTCAAAATGTAAATACACAAAAAAAGGGGCGTAAAATGAAATTTCCCGTTCTCGTTTTCCTCCTCAAATTAATTTTTATTTATTATTTTTTTGGACTCTTTGGTCTCTCTCGCCTCCATCTCCTCCTCTCTCTTTTCTTTTTCTCTCAAAATTCTCGTTTGTAACTTTTTTTGTTTTCTCACAGCTTTCTTCAAACCCTCCCAAAGTGCTCCCATAAACCCCCTCCTTCCCTCTCTCTCCCTCTCTCACACACAATCTCCTTTCCCCTGCACAGCCTTCTAATCAAACTACCCCTCGATTATAACTATATTACCATCCTGCCCCACCCTGCCTCCCCTTCTCTCCGACTTATTCTTATTCTCACTGCCCGAAATACCCTCTGAAGCCTCTAAATTACCTTCTCCCTCATTTCCACGTCGGGCCGGATTCAATCCGGAATCAAATGATAGCTCCGAGGACATTGTTCCTTCGATTCTTCTAGAATATTCTGTAAGGTTTCCTCTTTGCTCATTAATACATCGTTATTTTTTTCTGCGAAACCTAGATTTTTTATTTTTCATTTTGTTTTTTGTTTTAATTATTTGAATTTCGTCTAGCTAATTGGGGTTTTACACGACATTTTTTTATTTTAAACTGCGAAAATCTATTTAATATATATTTTTGGAAGCTTTTTGGATTAGGTTTTGCTTTTCTAGTTATTTTTCTTGATTCTCGACTTAAAGTTGTGCGTAAAATTTTTGACTTTCCAGCTTTAATTTATTTTAAGTGGAAAATGCGGTTTTAAGCAGCTCGAAGATTGTTATGGAACTTGGTTCGCTTAGGTTGACATGAGAAATCAGAATTCAGGCTCAAGGAGCAAAGAAATGAGCTGTAGTGAAATTTTGTGTCATCAAATAGTCTGTTTTTATGCAATAACTAATTGCTGAATGCAAATTGTTGAGCCAGTTTTATTTATTTATTTATTTATTTATTTTGCAATGATATTTGAGTTCAAGCTGACTGTTACATCCTAGGATTTAGTTTTTGTCGGCGTGTAAATGATTGTAAGTTATTTATTATGGTTGCGTGCTCTAGACTGGTAGGCAGTTTATCATGTCATTAAGTTCTGGTTTTTTGACGCATTGATATTCTTGCTTTAGTTTGTGCTAATATGATAACTTTTAAGCATGTTGAGCAAAAAAGAAGTTCCATAGTTGTTTTGCAACTATTTTATGTAAATTAGTTCTGATATGAGTTTAAGGAGCATGAAAACTGTGTCAGTGTTTAAATCTGTATTTTTTTTAAATTCATATTTGGTTTAATCAGTACGCGCTTTGGTATTTATGTTGATATTGGTTTTTGGCATTTGAATTGGTTGGTATCATTGAGCATAAGGTCTGCTTAGGAATTTATAGCAGTTATATTTTGTGGAAAATGATAACATGAAGATAGTTCTCGTAAGTTAGTGATGGAGATATTTTTAATGTAGACCAAAGAGTGGTGTTAGATGTCAGACTTACCGACTTTCCATAGTCATGGTGGCACAGCTGTCTGTCTGTTTGGTTTGTGTTCTGTAACTTTGGTAGATGGATGTGAATTTGAAAACTGAAATCTAATATTGGATGTGGGCCTATGTCAACCACAAATCATAAAATTATGGAAATACAGTTCATCTGCTTTGAACTTAATATTCCTTGCTTTTGGGGTAGCATATAGAGTTCTTGCAACATGAGGACCTCATCGGGAGGCATTGGAAATGCTATTAACTTGTATAGATGCTAGTTCATTGGGCTTGCTGACCAAAATTGGTTTATGTTTTTTGGGACTGTGGGTTTGTGTAAAAAATATATCTGCGTAAGAAACAAACACAATATCAAGAAAGGCAATAGATTGATAAGTTGACGAAGTTTGCTTTTTATGGATTTAATATTGGTATTATATTGATATGTCTGCTTGTTGAACCAGCATTTGATGCAGTGTGTGTTTGGTTATATACAGGGGCTTGTTGCTGTTACTATGTATCTCTTGCTTGAGTCCTTTTAGTTAGAGTTCTGATGGTTGTTTAATACTTAATTTTCTGTTGTCTGTGAGCTATCGATTACAACATTTTTTTTTTTTGAATGTGATTGTCTTTTGCCCTCAGGCATTCACATTGATGTAAATGTGCTTAACATCTACAAATTTAATTTTCTTTTTGCATAAATTGCTCTCTTTAATACTGTTTGATGTGATTATTACCTACGTTAACTCCTTCCTCTGTTCTTAGGTTTTCCGTCAAATTGCTTCTCAAGTTGTTTGACTGCTTCATTTGGTTAGAGTTTGGAACTTTGCATGCTGTAAAGGAACACAGAAATATTATTTATTTCAAAACAATCCAATGGAGCTGAAAGTTGCATCGCCTAAGCTTGGTGGTCCTTCTCCTCCTGATTGTGTTAGTGATCCTGAGGAGAAGGAAGTCAGCGATGAGGATGATGATGATCGCAACCATAAGCATCGTAGGCGGGAGACACGCTCTCAATCATTAGAGACAGACTGTACAGATCCAGTTTTTACAAGGCCATACAGAAAGCGTAATAAACCTTTGGAAAATGGGCATCCTTTCAGAGAAAATGAATCTCAAGCTGGTGAAACGTGGAAAAATTATAACAGTTTGCCTCTAGACAAAGACTTGACGTCTAAGTTTGATAGAAGGCGCCCTGGATTAGCAACACTTCCCCGAGGACATTTGGATCTGAACCAGAGAATTAGGTCAAACCAAACATTTAGCGGAGATTCTGGTCCTGGTAGGGGAAGAGGAAGGGATAGCTCTTCTTGGAATCAGCGTGATTCTAGGTTCAACTCAGTTGATATTGCTTCTCAGATGGTTCAGCCTAGATCTGTTGCTTCTGGTCTCTTTGCAGGAAGGGGATTGTCAAATGTTACAAATGCACAAAGCCCATCTTGGAGTGCCTTTGGGCTTATGTCAGGAATACCAAATGGCGGCCTAGATACACTGCATCCTATTGGTTTACAAGGGGCGCTCAGGCCACCTATGAATTCTTCATTGAATATGGGTATTCCTCGCCAAAGGTGTAGAGACTTTGAGGAGCGTGGATTTTGTTTAAGAGGAGACATGTGCCCAATGGAGCATGGTGTTAATCGTATTGTTGTTGAAGATGTTCAGGTAAGCATTTTGCTAAAGTCTATCTTGATACTGACATTTGGTGCTTATTAAGTTTCCCATGAACCTTTACTAAATTGATGAAAAAATCATGTCATGTAGCAATGCAATTTCAGTAAGGACCACCCAGGGAAGTTACCATTTGGTCCAGTTTATGTCCTCTGGTTACCAACAAAATGTATAGGATAAACACTGTGCTAAAGATTTTTTTGACTCTTAATATTTCCGTTTTAACACCTTTTAAATGCTTGTTGGCTGTGTTCCTGCATTGCGGCGCTGCACTATCACTAGAGGCAGTGCATTAATTCTTGTTGCTTTGAGTTCATTTACCTCAGGCAAAGCCTTGCTGTTGTGTTTTTAGTCTAATTTTCCATTTCAGCAAAATATTCTTATGTTCTCCTTTTAATATTTTTGTATGACACCTAATAATTGTATTGGCTCTCACCTTTTTTGCCTTCTAGTTTTCCATTTAGCATTGCTGGTCTCCTATTTACCCTACTGATAAAAGTAACACATATTAGATAGATTGCCTGCTTCTACTGTTTCTGGTAGGTTAATTTCCATCACTTTTGGTGCTTAAGTATCTTCTTGAAGGGAAGTCCTTGGATAATACAGCGGGGTTACTTAGACAAAAGAAGCAATTTTGTGCTTATATATCAATTGTCTGCTTTGAATAAATGTACTACATTAATAGAGATCTCTGCAATTAGACTTTTCTGACATCCTGGATATTTGATTGATGATCTATATTTGCTGGTGGAATGGCTTTGTTTCCAATTTATGTCATCTAACTGATCATCTCATTCGTAATGTATCACTATTCTGGAATCCAGATTGCCTTGGTGTTCCTTCCTTGGCTTTCATTCTTTATTATACATTGAAACAGCCAGCATTCTCCATGTTTCAAGTCAACAGTAACTTCTTTTCTGATTTGCAGAGTCTGTCACAGTTTAACCTCCCTGTTACAGTTCCAAATGCACAACTACTGGCAACACCTGGACCTGGACCACTACCTTCAGGTGTTCCTCCTTCAACCACTTCGATGAACAGCAAGGGGATACATAGCAAAAGTAGCAAGACTGGAATGGCTGATGATGTTTTAGGTTTGAATGGTACATATACTGGTTCTACCGGTGCAAGTGGTGCTGATTTATATGATCCTGATCAACCCTTGTGGAATAACAATGGCCCAGAAGCATCCACTGCACTCTCAGGACTACATTCACCCAAGCTTGATGAAACCGAACCCTCGCTAAATGATGATATGTCTGATCGTCATCATGGCAGATTACGTGATAGTGTTGATAATGAATTGCCAATTAGAGGCACTGGGTCACAGGGCACTAGTTTGTCCGTTTGGGGTAGAATTGGTGGCTCAAGAAGTAGAATAGACACAAAAGAGAAAATCGATCTCACATCCTCAGACTATCTTGAGAATGAAACTAAGGAAGAGCAAGAAGCATTTCCCAGCTCTCAAGGCACTTCCCGTCACACAAAGCGTATCAGCACTGAGGATGATGGCTCCAAAGTTATAGATTCATCATTCAAGTCACAGACAGACGGTATGCGTAATAGCAGAAAACCAACTCAAAAGGCGCTTCGTACACTGTTTGTCAATGGGATTCCCCAGAAAAGCAACAAAAGAGAGTCTCTCCTTGCTCATTTTCGTAAGTTTGGAGAGGTTGTTGACATTTATATTCCATTAAATAGTGAACGGGCATTTGTCCAGTTTTCTAGGAGGGAAGAGGCTGAAGCTGCTCTGAAGTCACCTGATGCTGTAATGGGTAACCGCTTTATTAAGCTCTGGTGGGCTAATCGGGATAGCATACCTGATGATGGTGTGAGCAGTGGCAGTGGCATATCAATAACTCCACATGGTCTAACAGCTTCTGCTATTCCAGCGCAGACATCAGTTGCTAATAGAGGAAAGGATAATCTTCAACTTATTCCTCAGAAGAGCAATGTTGTCCATGGTGCTGATGTGCCTTCCCTGAATTCCCCTAAGCCTGTCAGTGCGAATGGTCCCAAGGTTCCACCTCCATTGCAGAAAAAGTTAGAGACTCTGGAGCAGATGAAAGAGGAACTACGCAAGAAGCAGGAAATGCTGGAGCAGAAGCGAAATGACTTCCGGCGCCAGTTGGACAAACTTGAGAAACAAGTATTGGGAATTTTCTTTACTCTTATATACTATTCCTAAATATGCACTTCTTCAGTAACATTACATGCCCCAAGAACCGTTTTGTGTAGAAAATGAGGTTCAGAAGTTGCATGCTTTCATAGGTTTTTGAATGAACCTGAATGCTTTAGCTAAGTAATATGAAAAACTTCACTGGTGGCAATTGGGTGTTGTCAAACATGCATGCCTTTTATTTGGTACTACATGTTCCAATAGTTTGACTATATGCACATGCTGACAGGGGTCAAGAGACAATAATGAACAGAACATGAGAGTTTTAAGATATAAATGTGGGATATTATCCCCTATTTAGGCATGTTTAACATTTATTTCTATTTCAACCTTATGCAGTCTAGTGGAGTCAAGGGTGATCTATTGACTGAGCAAGCCGCTAAGAGGCAAAAGGTGGGAATTGCAGCTGATCCTGCAAAAGCTTCAACTCCAACGTCATCTGAACCTGGTGCTTCTGCAGCAACACCATGCACTATAGGGATGACAGATAAGAACAAATCAACAGAGAATGTTGTGTCTCACAGTCCAAAATCCAATACCACTATGGCATTGCAGGAAGCTATGAGCTCAAAGCTGCAGTCCCGTCCATCAGCTCCTGCAGGGCATCCATTCCTGATGAATAGATACAAATTGGACAACCGGCCTACTGCTTTTAGAGTTCTTCCACCATTGCCTTCTGGTCTTGCAGATGTGAGTCACTCTCTCTCCTTTTCCTCCTCTGAGAAAATTGCACCTGGTCCATCTTTTATGAGGATGGATTTTACCATGATTCTTTTTCTTATCCTTTTTGAAAATGAAAAGATGCACATTTCACGAACAATGGCCTTAGTATGTCTAGTTATTTGTAATGAATTCAAAAGGTGAAAGGCATAGCTTGAGCATGTGGTAAAGAATAGAGAGTGTTACGTGCTTGCACATGAAAAACCAAGTATGATCAAATGTATCGGTTTGTTGTTTACATGATTATTGATAATTATATTGTACTTGTTTCTGATTTTTCTTTTGTCAAAAACAAAAAATACTCATAATATGTTGATTCATTGTGCATATCGGAAGGACTATGGCTTCTTTTTTGGGGGTTTGGTGTACTTAACCCCCCAACTTACCTAAGATTCTAGGCACAAGTCTTTGTCCTCTATCTAAATGAAAAGGTCTTCACTTAATGGCTTTATGTTCTTGTTTGTTGTCACTGAGAGGTAACTCAAATCTGTGTGTCAATTAGGTTCATGTTTTGAAGGAGCACTTCTTACAATACGGTGATCTTTTTGCTGTGGAGCTAGAAGAAGTGGGAAATGATGGTGATGGTTTGGGAACAGAGGCTTTTAAGAACTGCTCAGCTCTTTTAACTTACAGCACACGCCGGGCAGCAGAGAGGGCATTTGTAAATGGTAAATGCTGGCAAGGCAGCAATTTGCAGTTTACATGGTTGACATCTACTAGCAATGACCCTAGTAGTAAAGAAACTTCATCTTCCACACCCAAGGGGTCTTTAGATGCTGACGTTCAGAGAGAAGAAAAATTAGCATGCAGCATCTCCCACGAAGTTGTTGGTTCAGGTAATGGGGAATCCGAGAATTCAGAAGGAAAGAGTTTTGTTGAGCATATGGAATTGTTTGAAGAAGTTTCACAGCATAGTCCATCCTCAACATCTAGTGAGAAAGAGTCGCACAAAGGTGATGCTTGTTGAGGATGGGCTGTTCTTGGATTTGTACAGTGAGGTAAAATGTTCAATCTACTGAACTCTAATTTTGAGGAGTCTTTGCATTCTCAATTTACTGAAATTTCATTTTCCAAAATATCTTGTTTCATGCATGGGATATTATGTAAAAATGGTGAAATTTTCTGTTCTTGAATTGTGCCACCGCAAGGATTAACGGTTACCGGAGTGGCAAATTGTACGTCTTTCGAGATTAGTTGTGTAGGACAACAGAATTAAAAGTAAAAATTTTCTTTTGAGATTACTTCAATTCTACATGGAAAAATCTAATGGGCTAGTGTAGTGATTCCCATTTCAGAATCCCAGTTTACATGTTTGCTTGCGGCTGCTAAATGGCTTTGTTTGATTCCCATTTTGCTTGGATATTGATGGTGACTCAGGTAATAATGAATGAAATACCTTTATATCTGAAGTAGAGACTTAATTATCACTTATTCTTGTCCTTATTACCACTGCATTGGAGAGGAAGTGCTGAACCCACAACATGAATATCAGTATCAGTGCCAGTGACAGTGCCAGTGCCACTTTACCATATCATTACGGAGTAATCGATTGCATACTTGGGAAATTTTCTATGTTAAGAGAGAAAGACTATTTCTTTTCCCTCTCGATCTCTTCTCTTTCTTTCTTCCCACCCCCATTTCTTCGCAAAAGGGCGGCAATTACCCAAAACAAACACTCAATACCAAGCAAGGAACAGGAATATACCATGCAAAACTTCGTTTTCTTAAAGGTTGATGACCTAGTCTTGTATGAATACAGAAGTAAACTTCATGGGGTCAAGCATCAATTGGAAAACAACGGGGGAACTTTTTATAAAATGTAAAAAGTTGCAGGGTCAAATGTATACTATATATACAAACTATAAAAGAACCCTAACAGGTCAAATGCTGCTGATTATTACAACCCTCTTCTTTTGGGCATTGTTTGCAACGTAGCCCCCTCTGGATATCTTCATATCCATTCTTCCAAGGGTCCTCGAGCAATCTCCCTTAGAATTCCCTTCAAAAACTCTTCAGTCGGTTTTCCAATCTAGCAGTAGATTTCAATAAACCATGGATTACGTATTTGCACGTCAGGCTATTAGGTGCAAACCCCACTTTCAGCATTCTATCCTGAAGCTCCATTAACTTATTCATATCACCATCCTCAGTTAATACACTGACAAGACAATTGTAACTTTCAGTATCAAAAATTTGGAATTCCTTGGCAAAGAAGTTCAATATCGACTCTGCTTTATCAACATCCAATTGCTTGCAGTAGCAATGTATCAGTGCCCTGCATATTTGGGGATCAGGACGAATACCAGATTTAAGCATTTCTTCCATCAAGGATTCAGCCTCGCGACATTTACCTGTTCTACACAAGCAGCATATAAGAGCTCTATATGCAACAAGATCAGCCTTTATTCTCCTTTGTGCCATCTCGGCTTTCAGGAGTAATGCATCTGCCACACTATCACATCTGCAGAATGACTCAATCAATTCATTATAGATATTCAGTTTAGGCACATAACCATCCTGAGAGATTCTTCCAAGGAGATTCTTTGCAGCAAATGGCCGATCCTCATGACATAAAGAAACCATTAAATAATCATAAATATCTGAAGACACTGACACCCTGAATCTCCTTAGTTCTACAACCAAATTCAAAGCTGAAATTAACCTACCCTGTTTCCCATACCCTTCTACAAGAACTTGACAAGTAAAACTATCTGGGTAAATCCCATTTCCTATCATCTCATGCATCAGATATTTTGACTCTTGCATCCTCCCCTCCTTACAGTAACCAGAAATAAGAGTATTATATGACACGATGTCCGGACTCAATCCTCGATGAACCATTCTATGGAATAACTGATGAGCCTCTCTCACCCTCCCTCCTTTACAAAGACCATTCATCAATGCAGTATATGAAACCAAATCTGGCACCACATTCCTCCGATACATAATCCGATACAAATAGAATGCATCATTCAGTCTCCCTTTCCTACAATGGCTACTAATCAGAGTATTATATGTGACCAAATCAGGATCAAACCCTTCTTCTTCCATCCTCTCCAAAAACTCATTAATTTTATCAGCATTTCCATCTTTACAAAAAACATGAGTCAATATATTAAAAGTACAAGAATTTGGATGAATCCCTACTCTACACATCTCTTCATACAGTAGCCAACATTGATCAACAAAATTCAACCTCAAGAGCCCATTCAAAAGACAATTACAAGAAATCACACTGGGCAAAAAACCAACCTCCAAAATGTTCCTAAAAGTCATAAAACCTTCTCTAACCATACCCTTTCTTACGTAACCCTTAATAAGCATATCAAAAACAACAGGATCAAAGTTACAATCTTTACTACAAAAAACCAAACTTCCAAAAACATTTTCACAATTTGAACAATCCTTAACATAATCAATCAATTCACATAACAATTCCATTGCTAAAGAGAACTTCTCCGACCAAGCCAATATATGGATAATGTAACAATAGTTATGTGAAGAAAGTTTAATACTTAGATCATTTTTAACCCAGTTGAAGAAAGTTAAAGCTGAAAAACTATCAGACTGAAATCTCAATAACACCCTTGTGATTTCATGGCAACTCAGATGATGAATAAGGGGTTTTATGTCATTTTGGAGATCGATTAATTGAGAATTGGCCTGTTTGAGAGATGAGGAAATGAGGTTGACTATTTGGTTGGGGTTTTGGGTTTCAGGAAGAAGGTTATAAAGTGGATTTGAGAGTGGTTTGGAGTGAGAGTTTTGGATGGTTTGAAGTGATAAAGAAGAAAAGGGTAATCTTGGTGTAAAGTTTACATAGATGTTGGTTGATTTAGTTAGGCTTTGGTTTAGGGGATTGAGTGAAGCTCGAAGCATCAAGAAGAAAGTGAAAGAGAGAGAGAGAGAGCAAGGTAGTCAACACTATACCAGTGAGCGTTTAGGTTATGTTCTGAAAACGGTATGTACCTATACCGGTGTGTTTCAATGTACCATTTCAAATTTATCTGCATTACATAACATTTACCTGTTAATATGTATTTACATAAAAACAATTTCTAAAAGAACTGTAACATTTAATGTTACAAATGCTTTCAAATATCAAAAAGCTGGAATCAAATCTAAAAATATAAGCACACAACAAATCATCATCAATCAAACAAACATATAGAATTGAAGTTCCAACTCAACACATAATTTAAAATTTGTCAAGCTTGCAGATTTTGGCTCCACAACAGATCAAATAATGCAGTTAGTCAATATTGAATTTTTTTACCTTATCAACAACCACTCATTCTAATTAAGATTCCTCAAACAGTTGTGAGTACAAACTAGGAAAGTACTTCTTTTGCCCAAATTTTCATGCTCACAGCAGTTAGAGTTACTCCTAACAGCAGCATTCAGTTTACAAAAAGGAAAACAATAAAATTAAAATTCTCCAGCAGAAAATAAACAAAAATGAAATGTCTCCTCAAGCTCACTGCAGAGCCACTAAGTAATTAAATTGAAGACTACCCATCATAAGAATCTCATTAATATCACTAGTAAATCTGAAAGTTAGGTCAAATTCAAGCCATCAAAGATACCAGGCACCTCGTACACGAAAGAAGAGAAGGACTTGGAAGATGCAGTAAATAGCTTACCCAAATCAGCGAAGAGGAGAACCCGAAATCTTTAAACAAATCTTCCACCAGAAATCAGATTGATCTGTGGGTAGGCGACTGAAGAGAGAGCTTGGTTTGATCGGAAGCTATTAAACTTAAAAAAGCAAAAGGAAAAAACTACAACCATGGATGAAAGAAGCGAAGTGAAAGCGTTAGGAGACAATTGGAAAAGATGAACCAGAAACCCAATTCTAGCCAGTATGGCACTAAATTTTACAGGCCTATGGACCTACCCTTTATTCAACGAAGAGTTGCATGATACCACACGCTACCTCACGAGACAAATCAGATTCATATTCTTGAATGAGCCCGCCTGGCTCTTTTGGGCCTGAGGTTCGGCTAAATTATCATTTTACATCTAGACATATACTTGGCTTGGTGGCTTGTCCCAGCCCACAAGCAGGCCTATATTGGCCCAAATAAGATAAATTTGAAGCCCAAATTCGGCCCATTATATATGAAAAATCTTTAGACTCATGGGCAAGACTAGAATATTATCATATTAAATAAATGTATTCCTATATTACTAAAGCTGGCAATTCATATTAATTAGGGGGTTATAATCAAGGTAAAAATATAATAAATAAATGTTTAACATGAATATGACACACTTGTTATACAAATAACGCTACAAAATGCAACTAACAAATTTAAAAGCAATTACCTTATTGAAACCCATAACTAATATTATTTTTTAAAATGTTAATATTTAATAAATAAATTTAAACAAGTCAAATAAGTTTGGTAATATGAATTAGCTTATGAATATAATTAATTAAATGCGAATTTACATAAAAATGAATGTTTTTAAGTTAAACAAATTGCAACAATTATTGGCACGAATAAACATACATGAATACACAAAAAAAAGATTATACAAAATCAAAATACACTTAATTTTGTATCGTATTTGTGTTGTGTGGAGAAATAGTATCCCAAACTACCAGGTCTTCCGTATAAGATGGGATATGTAATGTGGAACGAAATACAGAAAAACAGTGATACAAATATATACGAAAACATGATGCAATCCGACTAAATCAAATATGCTTTGCATATTTCAAGCTGGTTTTATGGATATTGTTATATGCTCATCACCATGGCTCCCATTTCGAAAGTGGAGGGTTCATACCTCACATCACCACCATGTTTGCGAGTCTAAGCTGCTTCTCCAGAGGCAAGTACTCTTTCAAACAAACACAAGCATGATGCATCACACGCAATAAAAATGGAGCCATATCATTTTCACTCCTGTCAATAGGTTGTGAGCTGGGTGTATCATCAGCCACTGATAGTTTAGTAG